TCCACTCACCAGCGTTTAATCAATCAAGGGAATTATTTACTGATCGAGTTATTCATTTTAGCTTAACCCTGCACATTTTCTAAATACTCAGTTGCTAAATAAATGTGCAAACAATTTAAATTTACTCACATCGGATCACTGAGGTGATGCAAAAACTTACATTTATAGCAAAATCAAATGCATCCTGAGCTTACGTGATTAAGCTCAGGAAGGTTTTATGTTACGAAGGTTTTATGTTTGAAGTTGACTGACAGCGAATAGCTCTCTGCACTAAAGGTTAATGTGCTTCTTCTTTCAACACAGGAAGCTGCAAGAGGAAGGAAGGTAAACTAGAAGAAGAGCTCAAGAAAGTTTTCAGATATGAATCAGGTTCTATTCTTTCTTAGGGAATGCAAATAAACAACTGAAACAAATTTTTACGACTAGAAGCAGAAGGATTTTAGCTGAGAAATACTTGACTATGAGTTGTAAAGTGACACAAAGAAACATGATGATTTTGATCTTCACTTAAATGACATCAGTTCCCAGTTTTTGACCCCGGCTTTACCAGAAGTTGACATCATTTCACACAGTTAACATGAGGTAGAGCTCAAAAGTGTATTTTACATAATACTGCACCCATGACCTAATATCATCACAATAACGCTTCATTCCTCATGTAACAGTTTTTAAATTGTGTTTTTCTAAATTAATAAAAAAAAAATCTCTATAAAAATTTCTCACCAACTTAAGTTGTAATCAGTAGTTGTAATCAGAAGTTGTGGCTTCCGCTTTCAATAATATATGTGTGGATTAGATTGAACCAACAACTTATGGCTTGACAGGAAGTTCCAAGACAGGACGTGTGTTATTTTAAACTATTCTAATAGAGAAATGTTCAGTTTCCTCTGAAGAAGCGACCAGTAAGCGCAGACACTCTCTGAAGACAACACTTGTCAATCCTCACAAACCAAGAAATACAATTTTATCACTGGATTTAAACATGACCAACACTTTGCTGTGCTTACTTTGTAAGTATATCACATTTTCTCTTTGAATAGTGCAGATAAGTTAAAGATTTCATATTAGTAGGTTGTTTAGTTTGCTTCAGTCTTCACTCTTGCATACAATTTATATTTAATACCCTTGTAACATGTTGAATTTCTTCATAAGCGTCTGATTAGACAGTTGAACTTGCGATGTATTATGAAGCATATTTTTTATGAACAGGAAGAAACACTTATACCACTTATTTTGTGCAGAAAAAAAATTCAATTTCAAATCATAAATATTGATTATAGATTATAGATCTTGTATCACTGTTTTTTGTTTAATGTGTTTCCTTATGTTTAACTGCTGTAGGTTTAAACTTTGAACTAAAATGTAGATTAATAGTCATAGAGGAAGTTGTTTTCTTATCCTGCACACACATCACTGAGAGCTGCTGTTTGTTAACACAACTGCTGGAGATCAGAGCTTAAAGGGTGACGCCCATTAGACAGAGTGTAGCATGCAGAATAAGGACTGCAGGTCAGATCCTGATTTGAAGCCCCAGCAATGGGACAGTGATAGAATGACAAGTGTTGCATTTTTCTTTATGATTGGTTGAGAATTGATACATTAAATCTTTGAACTTATAGCAAAAATCTTTATTTATCTGGAGTCTTTGCCCACCTTAGATAAAGAACCTGATGTTGCTCTGCCAGGCATAAGGATTCAACAGCATTCAGGATTTGTGTCCTCATATATAGAGCATTGCTATAAAACTGATCACTAACTAATGAAACAACATGTTGACAATATAAAAGAGCATTAAAATCATTTGCAGGAATATGAATTTCACAATTAAATTTGTGAAATTAAATTGTGTTTGTGGCAGAAACACTATGGCTAGAGGAGACTGTGAGGTTTACTTTAGACGTTTTATGTTTGGATTTTCAGTTCTTTCATTTTTGGTTGTAACATCTGGATCAAGATCCTCCTCTCTGCAATAAGATGCCCAATGTTTAAACCTTTAAGATCCAACAAAAGAACTGGCTTAAAGTGGGTCATCAATGTCTCCATCAGAATCAATAAGATCAAAATGGTTCTGCTTTTCTTTATGAAATGTATTGAATACACAAAGTTGTTTCTCCAGAAGTATGTAAAATAGAAGAAAATTCATTACATGTGTTTTTGTTTTACTTAATGACTAACAAAATTGTAAACTTTGTTTTAGTTCCCAGTTTACTCCTCTTCTGTGGAAAGTCTACAGGTAAAACAAAAATCTTTTCTCATTGCTATTGACTAGAGCTGTGAATATTAGCTGACATCATCATCTGACTGAATTCTGTCTTCTGCTCAGGCATTTTAATGACACAAAGTTGGAAACTTCCAACCTGAGTGAAGTTGCCTCAACTCAAATGCGTTTGTGCTGATTTGTGCGGCAAACATTTTTGTTTGTGCCATTTTTGATTTGAAAATATTAATAAAAGGTTAACGGTCAAAAGGTCAACCGGCCCCCCTACCTTTATAATCATTATATGCTAGTTTGTGGACTGATTTGAAGTAGTGAAAATAAATGTCAAACATGAAAGTGAGCTGGAAACAGCTCACTACATGGCTAGTTCTACTCTAGTCTGACTTTTTGTATTTCAATAGTACAGTTTGTTTAATAGCACCCTCTAGTGATCAGACATTTAAACACAGGTCACCAAGTTTGTTTTGCCTGTTGTTGTAGCAGTTCATTCTGAATAAGACCTACTTCCAAGTAAATTTCATCCATGTTAAAGTTAAATTTAGTTCATAGGCTAGTACCTAACTACCTAAATTTACATCTATTTACGCCTATGTTTGTGATTTATCATCACAAACAAAGATGAGTTGATTGACACCAGATTTGATTGATTTCGTAAAAGTGGGGGTGGGGCTGATTGATCTTTTGACCTTTAAACTTTCATAATAAATATTGCACCAACTTAGCCGAGCTGAGATTGTGCAAATACGTTTTAATGTGAGCAGGGGAGGAGATTGGTTGATCCCTGGAGAACATTTTTCATGATATCTTTGAATGATAGCAGCTCAAACACAGTCGAGTTGATTAACACCAATTTTGTTTGATTTGAAACAGGTGGGAGGGGCAACTTCACTCAGTTGTATTACATGCAAGGAAACAGACAACTCCCTGCAGAACACTGATCATTAAAACTATTAAGATGGTTTAAAAGTTGATGCTTTAGATTGTTAAAACTGAATAATATTGTGGATTTCTTTGTCACATCAGATGAAAATCATCAGATATTAACACTGAACGTAGTAAAAGTTCAAACTGTAGTTTGAAGTGATAATGAATGAATCTTAAAATTTTCTCAACTTTTTCAGTGAAAGTTCAGTTGATTGTTTTTGCTAAAAGCCAATAAAATTAAAGAGATTTATTTGTTGCTGTTCAAACTCAGACCTCTGTATCCGTGTCCTTAATGCTTGTGGAATTGTCTTTTTAATTGCTTATTTTAGGTCAGATTATTTTTGTGTCTTTTCACAAAGTTCCTCTCCACAGTTTCCTGGAATTTTGAACCACTGCAGGCCACACGTCAGGATTTGAGTTTTCTGTGTGTTTAGTTTGAGTTTCTGTGTCTCTGAGTCTCCGTGTTGTCCGGTCTCCCCTTGATAATACCCAGACGTGTCTCGTTCCATGATTTCCCTCTGTTCATTTCACCCCACCTGTGTTCCTTGTTCTTCATCGAGTCCTTGTTGTTGCCGCATGTTTGTAGAGTAAGTTTGTCTCTTCTGTCCAATCGTTTGACCTGTTGCTACCAGTGCTGAGCCCCAGCCTTCTGCTCTGCTGTGCTGCCAGGTTTTTTTCTTCAATTCTTCATTAAAACATCATCATCATCTACATTTACGTAGGTCGGCTGCATTTCCATCACCACCTCATGACAACACCACTGACACACTTTTTCAGCTCTGCCCACATATGATTTGCAGGACTGAGATCATATCTCTAAAGGTCACTTAAAAACACAAACTTTGTCTCTTCTCCACTTTGTAAATAATATGATACGATACACGATCAGGTTCCGTCTCCAACTGGATGATTTGCTTTTTTTCCAACTCCACACAGTTACAGGAAATGATCATATTTTTTCTTATGATGCTTGAATCTAACATCACCAATATGAAAACATTTCAGTTCTTTCTTCAGTTGCTGATGGAACAAAAACTACCTACTGAAATGTGTTGAGACTATTTCATTTTGCACAGTTCTAAGAGGATTAATACATAAAAGAAATTCTGTGTTCAGCAGCATTAAAGCCAGTCCTGACTGTGTCTCCATCATGGTTGAGTCCTGGAGCCTCAGTGACTCTGAGCTGTGAGGTTAAACCTTCATCTGCAAGATGGAGGTTCTACTGGTATCAAGCTGTTCCTGATTTATCAAAGAACAACTACAGATATGAGCTGCTAGCTGGTAGCATCAGTGGGACTGTAGAGAACTCCTTCATCATTACTGGACAGAAACACACAGCAGGATTTGCATGTAGAGCTGGAAGAAGAAACTCTGAGGATTTCACTGATTACAGTGAACAAAAGTTTGTCTGGTCTGCAGGTCAGTGTGATCAAACTAATGAACTAATCTTCTGGCATTCAATTTAAGTTAATGTGTGATCATCTGCTAAGGCGTAAATTGATAAAACTAAAGACTTGACAGGTTGGAGAAATAGTGAAACAAAGTGACTTATTAGCACAAATCTTCAGGACTGATCATCCAGAACTGCACTTGTTGAAATCTGAAGACAAAAAACTCTTCAAAAACATAGAAAAGGTTTTATTTCAAGATGATTTCCTTTTGATTATTTTTATCTGTTTCTTTTTCTCCAGATTCTCATCCAGCAGCGTCTCTCACAGTCAGTCCTGACAGGGAGAAACTTTTCACTAATGAGAAAATCCAATTTGACTGCAAAGGAAACTCTGCTGACTGGAGAGTGAGGAGATTTAAACAATCACACTACAAACCAGATTTATCACACTGCTCCAACTGGGGAACAATGACTGGATCCTCATGTACCCTCATCAGTCCCTATTACCACAGAGCAGTGTACTGGTGTGAGTCTGGATCTGGACAGTTCAGCAATGCAGTCGACATCACTCTAAACTGTAGGTTAATTTAAATTTTCTGACATTAAAGGTTGATGCCATGTTGCCCATCTTAACTAATAATGTGTAGCTTTATTTGTGAGTTCTGGTTGTATATGTCTTTCAATAATATGTTTTTATTATTGAAAGACATAATAATCAGCTTGATAAAATTGCACAACTTTGAATATTTTTTATTAGTAACATGCTTGTTTCTATTTTAAAAAAGCTGATTGGTTCCTTTTAAATGCATCCTTTACTTGTTTGGAGATGTCACTGTCTTTCTATGCTAACAATGTGACTCTAACAGGTTTTTACTCTGAAATGTAAACCAACAAACTATTTCTTTGTCCAACAGCACCAGATTCATTCCTGACTGTGTCTCCATCATGGTTGAGTCCTGGAGCCTCAGTGACTCTGAGCTGTGAAGTTGAACAGTGGTCTGCAGGATGGAGGTTCTACTGGTATAAAGCTGTTCCTGATCCACAACAGAGATACTACAGATATGATTCACTGAATGGTGACATCAATGGGACTGTAGAGAACTTCTTCATCATTACGGGACAGAAACACGCAGCAGGATTTGCATGTAGAGCTGGAAGAGGAAACCCAGAATATTTTACAATTTTTAGTCGACCAATGTTCATCTGGTCTAAAGGTCAGTGTGATTCTGTTCTGCCACTAATCTTGTTATTCACCAACCTGACGTACCACTGATCATATTTTTGAGTTTTTGCTGCACAGAAGTTTGCAACATCAGATTGTATGATTAAAGATTTAGTTTATCAAATTGTATCCAGTGGTGAAAATAGATTTAATTTCCTTTCATAAGAGCTGGACAATAAATCATTAACAGTATATATTGCAACATACAAAGTCAATATCAATAAATAATCATCTGATAGAATATTAGATCCAGAACCCCAAAGCATTCTGGGAAATGTCGGCAGAGGAAAGGATTTTATCGCTCAACTAACTCACTGGTTACCTAGCAACAACCGGTTGAGTAACATGCCTCATAAAATACATTATAATAAAAAACTAAGTAGAGGAAAGATAAAGGATAAACCAGGAAAGGTCATCTTGCCAGTCTTTCAGTCTTTAGAATATTAAAACAAAGAAAAACATGCAGTAATTATTGATTATTGACTGATAAGAAACTTTTATATTCTCTTAAGTTTTCAACCTTTTCGTCCATCCAAAAACAGAGACACCCAGACTTTCCTCCCCCAGTGGAGAAACATAAACCCTACAATGCGTCCTGGGAGGAAAACCTGACCCTTCAGGTTTAGGGGTCAGGATCTTGACCTCTCAGGTTTATGGGTCAGGATCTTGACCCCTCAGGTTTAGGGGTCCAATTCAGATGCCCGATATTTGATTTTATCTTAGAAAAATATAAAGTCTGCAGAAAGAGTGGAAAACGAGGAGATGGGATAATCAATGGAAATGCTTTAAAACATAATTCAGTTGCTGTATTTTTTGTTCATGATCAACTATCTATGTGGATTTAAAGGCTTTTGTTCAGGGAATTAGAGAAACATTTGGACAGCTCACTGTTCAAAACCAGAGAGAAACAAATACATCAAACACACAAATATGTCTTTGAGATAAAGACATGTTTCCACTTTATAAGAACAATGTTGCAACAATGTTACTAAAATATGTTTTAATCTAAACAAAGAAAAAAAGATTTGAATTAAGATTTTCTTTTTCATCTGTTATGTTGATTATTTTCTCCATGTTGTTTTTCAGATCCTCATCCAGCAGCGTCTCTCTCAGTGAGTCCTGACAGAGATCAACATTTCACCTCTGAGTCTGTGACACTGAACTGTGGAGGAAACTCTGCTGGGTGGAGAGTGAAGCAGTTTGGAGAATCAAATGATCTGTTGTACATCAAAAACTGCTCCCCCTGGGGGTCAATGACTGGACCTTCATGTAACTTCTGCAGAACTTCGTCCCAGAAATCAGTTTTCTGGTGTGAGTCTGGATCAGGAGAGTTCAGCAATGCCGTCAACATCACTTTTCAAAGTATGTTATTATTGTGGCCTTTCTTTAATTTTAACAGCTTCTCATAAAATTAACTGCTCCATGTTTCAAAAACTAAAAATAAACATAAAAATAATTTGAAAGTGAATGAGAACCTTTTCAGAGAGCCTCATTTAAATTTAATCAGATGATCACAGAAGAAGAAAATATTTGTTTAGAATACTTATAAATAACTCTGAGCCTCTCAGAATCGTTTTAAAGATCAGATAATAAATTAAACCCAAACTTTGAAAACATTTGTGGATTTAATTTCCACAGTTTTTGAAATCATAGCGCTCATTTATACATTTAATTTATGAAGACTTTTCAAAATGTAACATTTATTTTGATAACATTTTGTTTTCTCTTCCAACACATTTTAAGCAAGTCTGTACTTTTAAATTCAAGTTGATTCTCTTCATCATCAAAACTGTGTGGTCTACAGTTTGTGTCACTTTCATTGAACATTGTGGCGAAAAAACATGAAATGTCAAAGAAAATGTATGTTCAGTTAATTCTCCATAACTTTCTCTAATTGTCTCCAGCAGCTGATTTCTGACTGAAGCTTCATTTTCTCTGACTGGTTTACAGATAGAGGTCCTCTCCTGGTGAGCCCCGTCCATCCTGTGACTGAAGGAGCTTCTGTCACTCTGAGCTGCAGACTGAGAGGAGAAAACAAACTTTCTAACGCGAATTTCTATCATAATGACAAACTGATCCAAAATGACAGCAGAGGAGAGTTGAAGATCTCTGCAGTGTCTCAGTCAGATGAAGGTTTCTACAAGTGTCAACATTCAGGAGACGTTTCACCTCAGAGCTGGATGGCTGTTAAAGGTGAGTATAACATTATAAATATTTTAATGATCAGATGAATAATTGTGAAAACCTAGACTCGTATATTTACATATGAAGATGCATTGTTTTCTTAATTTACAGCAGCTGTTTCAAAACAGAGCAGCTCTTCGTTTCCTGTGATGTGGGTCTTCGGACCCGTTTGTGGAATCGTCCTCGTTGTCCTCCTGCTGCTTCTGAGTCGCTTCCTAAAGCTCAAAGGTCAGAGTTGCACCTTCTAATGACCTATAGAGGCTGTCATAGCGACATCAATCTTGTGTTGAAAACCAAAACATAAAAACATCTTTGAACATCTTTTCATGTTTCTATAAATACACTTTTAGATCCTGTCTTCCTCATGTCTGCAAAACATTTTCATCTGCTCTCATCGACACAAAATATCTTTACAATGCTTTTCATTTATGTTTTGTTTTGTTTTTTCAATGTATATTGTGTTTATTCGGTCGGCCCGGGCAGCAAGCAGAGGCTTTGGCTCCGACACAAATCACACAGGCAGCCAAACTGAAGCTAATGAGTACAGCTCTCCTTTACAAGGTCAGTACTAAATATATCTGTATCATTAGTATTTTATCTATGAAATTAGTAGTTTCAGCAACAGTTTAATGTTTGTTTAGCTTTCAGTGACTGAATTATGAAATGAATACTAAGCTTGATTTTATTTGTCTGTAATTTTCAACTGTTCAATTCTACTTTTAAAAATTGTGATTGTGACAGGAGATCATTTGCATCTTATTTGTTAAATTCAGGTACATCTAACCTGAATGACTCAGTGAGGCCCTCTGACGAGCCTGTGAATGGTGAGGTTTACCTGTTTAAACACTAAAACATCCAACACAAGGCTGAAAACAGGCCAATTCCACGTGACTGAATTTGCATCTTGATGTGTTTCAGGTGCAAACGACGACCAACACGTCACCTACTCCCTCCTGGAATTTAAAAACTCCAGAAACAAGAGTGAGTTCCTCCATTGTCGAGGAGCTAATATCTTCTGGAAGGACTGTTTATTTATTTTTTTTGTTTTTTTTTCCTAAAATAAATTATTTTGTCTTTAGTATTTATAAACATAACTTGTATATCTCATTATTCAGGGGGCAATCGCGCACCAGAGGAGGGCGCCGTTTATTCTTATGTGAGAGCAGGAGCTGCAGGTACAGTCAGCAGAAACATTAACTATTGGACATCATCTGTTAGAAATGATCAGAAATATACATATAAAGTCTTCATAAATTGTTAGTGTGGACTACAGGATCAGATTCAACATCTTTCATCAACTTTATGCTAGCTTGAGCTGGTAGATATTTCAGCTTATTTGGAAACAGTTGTGTTTATCAGTCTTACAATATGTACTAAATAGTACATAGTGTACTGTTTAGTGACTGTTGATTATTTTATCAGTTTTACACGATGGGTGCCTTCACATCACCCCAGTTTAATCCGCTTCAATAAAACTGTAGTTTATTTGTGTAGTAAGTCCGGTTCATTTAGGGGGGTCTGAATGACCAATCAAACTCTGATGAGGAGCAAAACAGTGAACTTAAAATCTCGGACTCGGTTCAATTGAGGTATACTTTGTTCAAATCCATATGTGAATGCAAGCGGACCGAAGGCAGCACCAAAAGCAGGATCTGAAATAGAGCGCAGGCCATCCTGGGTAAATAGAACCAAAACAAACGTGAAAGTCTACCCCTCGTTACCACTAAAATCTGACCCTACTTCATTTTTTGTTGCATTTTGCGAAGAAGGAAGTGCGCTCATGTCTTCTTTTGAAGTCTTCCTGTCATTTCCTTCAGTAGCTCTGGGTGCAGCGCCACCACAGGCGAGGGGTTGTAAAGGTTTTTCAAAGGGTTTAGGTTGTTTGACACAGTCCAGCTTGAACACAAACCGCACCAGCTGAAAACATTTCACTTTTGTCCATAATCGAATTGTCTACCAGATTTGTCTTCCAGCTCTGCTGGATAAAACCATCCAGATCTTCTGTCACAACCCAGACACTTAATACAGATAGGAAATGTATTTGCTTTTGGCATTTTAAATGGATTATTGGTTGAATATTTATAAGGCTCAAACAAAATGCTATCTATATGGCTTAGATCTATTTCACATTTGTCCTAGGCCAAGCAACTGTCTTGATTTTTCTCTGCATTTTCAGGAAGGTCCAGTCCAGCAGCAGCAGACGTAGCCGTTTATTCTGAAGTGAAATCGACGTCTGGATACTGATGATGCTGAATGTTGATGGGATTTTTTTCCAGAAGATATTCTTATTTACGTTAGATGTCTCTGGATATATGTTTTAAAATAATATAAATTGAGATGTAATGTAAATATGAAGACGAGATGTATAGTTGAGCTATAGTTCAAGATTTGGTCAAGTGAATTGTGTGATATTACAACAAATTGCCTCCCACCTATAGCTTGTAAAAACGACAAAACAAAAACACAGTAAAATGTGATGGATGTCAAGATAGCTGCAATTACTTGGCAGTAATAGCTTTTCTTTTCTTTTTTTGTGAAAGCTACATTTATGCTTTAAGCTATGTAAATCAAATAGTAGATTCAAAGATGAACAGCAGCGAGGAATGAATGTTGTATCACCAACACTGGAGACGGGTTTAAGTTTTAAGTCAACACAGGGCAACAAAAACTAATTTAAATGACATCAGGGCCAAAATATTTAAGTGAGTCAAATTACAATATTTTGCTCAGACAAAAGAGTCAGACAAAACGCTAAAATGTTAGCTAACATTTTAGCTCCACATTTTAAATGTCAGCTAACATTTTAGCTCCACATTTTAAATGTCAGCTAACATTTTAGCTCCACATTTTAAATGTTAGCTAACATTTTAGCTCCACATTTTAAATGTCAGCTAACATTTTAGCTCCACATTTTAAATGTTAGCTAACATTTTAGCTCCACATTTTAAATGTTAGCTAACATTTTAGCTCCACATTTTAAATGTCAGCTAACATTTTAGCTCCACATTTTAAATGTCAGCTAACATTTCAGGGTTAACATTTAACCTCAATTAATTGAGCTTAATTACAATTAACAAGCGAAAGAGCTAACATTCTAGCTTTTCAGCTTGTTAAAAGTGTGAGCTTTTAAAGCTAAGGTATTAGCTTTAAAAGGCTAAATAACATTTTGAAAGCTAAGATGTTGCCGTTAATTGATTCTAGCCTCTGAAGTGATTTGCAAACTGTTTGCAAAGGGAGGTCAGTTGGAGTATTTGAGGAAGCAGTACATTTGGGTTTGATCATGTGGTTGAAAACAAAACTTTGGCATTATTTTTGTGACTGTTAATTATTTTTGGTGAACTGTGCGTTTCCTGAATTTCTGACAGCACAATTGAGTATATGAAGCTGTGTGTGCATAGCGGAGGAGTCGATTGTCCGTTTGTTTCTCCTCCATTTCCCCTCTGCTTTTCCTGGATGTTTCTGTCGAATTTTTTGATGCCTTTGGTTTTCCAGCGGCGTACTTGTTTATTAAAAGCTTTTTTTGGAGAACAGCAGAGCTATTTGTTGTTCCCGTTTATTGAAATGGCGACTGACCATTGAATCACAGCGATCAGTTAAAACAACAGAGGAATTTTGGTTAAAAACGCCGCAGGGGTAAGATGGCTCCTCCTGAGAGTTCAAACCGCGTTCTCCCCTTGGATCAAACCAGTGATATATGAAAACACACCGACTTGTAGGAAATCTTTGTGTCTGCAAAACAATCAGACAGCCTGAAATCTACGTAAATACTACAGTATAATGATTATATATATGTCATATGATATGAAATATAATAAATAAATATACAATAAATAAACTGAAGGACTAAATTACAGTTTCAGGTCGACAACAACCTGATTATGCTAACATCACTGCCAGGTCAGATTCAGACTGAAGATTTTGTCAAGAGGAAATTTGGGGTCCAAAATCTGGAAGTCATGAGGATGAACAATACAGCGAGGAAAACACTTTACGACTTTGCAAATCCTCCCCACTCAGAAATCATGGAGGCTCTGAAATTTTCATCTGCATGTCCACTGTGTGGACATAATCTGAAAAAAAAAAGTTCGGAAATCACAATGTGTGATTTATTAATATTTCTTTTAATATAATTTATGTGTGTGCTTCTAATGCAAACAAGTATTCAGACACTTGTTTGCATTAGATCAGCAAAGATTCTTCCAACGCAACATTGAACCAAATTGTGTTAAAGTTCTGTTCAGAGAATTAGGGATTTGATGTTTCTTAAGAAACTGAAGAAGCATCAAATTTCTCTGGAAAATGTTCTCTTTGGTTTTTCTCTGTGTTTTTAGACCTGAATATCTGTATTAACGTGTTGCTATAGAGAGGCGCCTATTAAACTTACATGCTTTATCAAAACATCGAACAACTTATCATTTTTGAAGCTAGAATTTTGAGAAATCAGTCATATTACTTACATACTTAACATAAATAAACGCATAGCTGGAAAATGAGCCTCCAAAACGTTCTAGAGTGTAAAGCCACAAGAATCAAATGGATTTGTTGATTAAGTACAGCTTTTATATTTGTAGCATCTTTGTAATTACATGCTGACATTACCTGTGATACAATAGACTTCACAAAGCTGTTGTGTTTCTGGGGAGGAAGAGTCTCCTGTAGCTGTCTGTGCTACAGCAGCTCTGTTGAAGCTGCGCACAGACCCTGACTTCTGTGCGCTCCACCCTTGGAGGAAGCTTCTACACAAAGTAACTTGTATAATAAAGAGAAAAACCACAAGACATCTTCAATATTTTGACAGTTTAGAAATTCATCAGAAAACATGTTCTCTTTCCAGTTGTAAAAATGTGTGCATATCACTGAAATTATGGAGAAAGTAAAAAAAAAAAAAAAAAAAAACTAATTTAAACATGTCAAATAATCTGAGTGATGACATACGTTCTTATTGAGCAACAAAACATTTAATTTAATTCAAAACAGAAAATTAAAATGGGAATACTAAATGGTAAAGTTCACTACATACTACATAATAATAACATAATTTATTGTCTGACAACTGAAAATATGGGAGACTTTGAAAACAAAAGTTAATATCTTTCTGTGTAATTGCTAATCACACCGTAGTGTCTCTTTTTAAAACCACACTGTTTGCCTAATTTAGATAACCACAGTAAAGCCCCATGCCTCATATAAGACAGTTTTACAAATTATATTTTCTTATTGCAAAAAATATTGTTTTACAAACTTATGTTTTTGTAACCCTTTAACAAAAACATGCAGTTTGTGTGCCAGAGGCTGCGCAAGCAGGTTGTGTTTGTGGTGACAAAGGAAAGAAAGTATTGGCCAAAAACAGGAAATGTTAGAAACACAGTTTCCTCAAAAGACGGAACCACAAGTGAGGATGTTCTTTGGTTCTATTTTCCACTCATTCTGCGAGTTTCAGCCTTTCTCTTGCCACCAACATCTGAATTTCTGGTGTTCACAGAGGAGCAGAAGCATTTTTATTTCTGGATTTAAACATGGACCTCCTGTTGCTCTGTGTGTTGGGCGTATTGCGTAAGTACATTACATCTTCTGTTTGAATCGTGTCGGTAAAATCATCTTTAAATGTTCGGACGTTAGTCGCCGTGGCCAACAGAGACGTGAAACGTTGGATGTTGGTTGTTTGGTTTTTGCTGCAGACGGTTTTAACACAGAATTTGTGTTTCACGGTTTGGGTCTGGTCAGAAACTTCTTTATTATAAGTGTCTGTACAGAATTCCAGACGTTCAGCTTATTTAATGTATAGAAAGCCAGGTCATTACTTCTATAGTAATAAATGTTTCTGAAGACTGAAAAAAATGATTTTTGAAGGTTTTACACCACTTGCTTTTGCCAAAAATAAAACCAAAAAACCATCTGAAAATCATTGCTCAGTCGTCGTTCAGATATAAAATGCTTATCATTTGAATTAATTGATTTTTTTTAATTAATGAGTCTGATTCCTCTGTCATACTTGACTGCAAGTTGACGTGAGGAAATGAGAACAAACTGATGACGATATTTTGACATCTTCATCAGAGGAGCTGTAATCTAAATGTTCATCTATAACGTGCAGCTCTGAAACTTTGTCTCCCAAATTAATCTCTGCTTCCTCGCATCTTGCACATTAAACTTCATTGTGCAACATGATAAAGGCACCTTATCAGGTACCTTTATAATTCATTGAGGACATAGAGGACGGGGTGCATTGCAGATCATCTCAGAGAGGAGAGCCAACCCTGCAATGTCGTAAACTGACATGGTTGGTGTGTGTGCGGCGTGTGTGTGTGTGCGTGTGTGTGTTTAACTCATAGTAATGATTACTCTAGCGCAGTTTTATCCTCCACTGATTCCAGGTCAATCACTGAACATTCAAAGACCAGCAGGTCTTTGTCTCTGTGGCAGAAACACAATCAGATTCCTTAAAGGCTCCGTTTCACCCACACTGCTGGATCTGAAATACATTTAACAACATGTATTTCGACATTATGAAACACCTTTCATAAGGTTGAGACACCTTCTGAAAGGTGTTTCATAAGGCACTATGCAATGCATTTTGTAGAAGTCTTGCTTACTTCTGCAGAATGTTTGGCAGATCTGTGCAACACATTTTACGTCGTGCTTCTGCACAGCGACTTTGATTGTTTCGCACCTCGCAAAATTTCAATTTGTGCTTTAGTTCTCAGTTTTCTACTCTGCTGGGAATCTCGGCTGGTATTTTGGCGCATTCCTCATGACTCACTCGCTGTAACCGAGTGAGGTTCTGCAGGTGGTTCTTTCCTTCCACCTTTTCATTTTTACACAACGCGTCTCAGAAACATTGAGAACAAGGGAAGTTTGAGCTGCAATTCACTTTATAAATGACTGTCCGGGTTATTAGCAACTGTGAAGAAAGTCACAGATTAAAATATTGAAACGACATTTTATGCTGAATGCTCTTTTATCGCAATGGAATCTTATTTCTGCAGTGCACCAGTCTCTCCTGCAGTAAAACAAACAAAACGTGATGCTGCTGCCTCTGTGCTTGACAGTTAGTTTGGTATTTTAAAATCACTGTGGATTATGAAATATTTAACCAATTTCATCCAGTATGCTTACAAGGTCTTATCCAGTTTAATTTCTGGTGAACATTTCCTAAATGAAGCAGGAGTGAAGAGAGCAAAGGCTCTGTGTGTTCTGGAAAAATATCACTAAAAGTTACAGATGTCAGAGAGAGTTTAGCTTCTTCTTCAGGTGCTGATGAATGCACGCAAATGCATGCAATATTTCTGTGTGTTTCATTATATCTTGCCATTTTGTACAGTTCATAGGTCATCTGGAGATGAGAATCTACGGTCAACAGAATCAAAGTCAGTCCTGACTGTGTCCCATCATGGTTGAGTCCTGGAGCCTCAGTGACTCTGAGCTGTGAGGTTGATCCTTCATCTGCAGGATGGAGGTTCTACTGGTATCAAGCTGTTCCTGATTTATCAAAGAACAACTACAGATATGAGCTGCTAGCTGGTAGCATCAGTGGGACTGTAGAGAACTCCTTCATCATTACTGGACAGAAACACACAGCAGGATTTGCATGTAGAGCTGGAAGAGGAAACCCAGAGAATTTGACTGATTACAGTGAACCAAAGTTCGTCTGGTCTGCAGGTCAGTGTAATTAAATGTGATAATCTATACGTTTGACTGTCATTTAAACAAATTCTCATTCTGTCTGAAAATGCACTTTAATTTATGTTTAAAGAATTTTAAAGCCCAAGAAGAAGAAAAAATCGATTGAGACAAATAAGTTCAATGAATAAAATCCAAATAGTGATAGGACAAGGTGCAGAAATAGAGAATTGCTTCTTTAAATAAAAAGAAGCGATACTTTATATTGCTTCTTTATATAGAAACAATATAGATTTATCCATCTAATGAATATGCTTTGTTTATTACGCTCATGATTTAACTGAACAGTACATTTCATTTGTCGAAATCCACAAGGTAACCTCAAACAGGATGAAATCCTGTCAAGCACGAAAACGCAGATTTTATTGTCGGTTGTCTTTTTCTTTATCTTTTTTGGTCTTTTTTTTCTTCTCATGATTCAGATTCTCACCCAGTAGCGTCTCTCACAGTGAGTCCTGACAGAGAGCAACTTTTTACTATTGATGAAATTCAACTGAATTGTAAAGGAAACTCTGCTGACTGGAGAGTGAAGAGGCTTACAGATTCATCCGCCCAGTCAGATCTATCGGACTGCGCCATCTGGGGAACAATGACTGGATCCTCATGTACCTTCATCAGTCCCCAGTACCGCAGAGCAGTGTACTGGTGTGAGTCTGGATCAGGACAGTTCAGCAATGCAGTCAACATCACTGTAATCAGTAGGTTAATTTTCATGTTGGTCTGACCTCCTGAGTTTTTGTTCATGTCAGTTCCTGATGTTTTGCAGCTTCTGCTTTGAGTTCTGCTTCATGTTGAGGAATTACATAATGAGTTTGATGATATTTAATGGCCTTCAATGTTTTCCATTTAAAATGATAGCACCCAGGTTTTTCTTGTAAGAATCTTGAGTCTTTTCTTTTCCAACTTTATTTTAGTTGCTATTTTTTCGTACAATTTGAAGACATTGCAGCTGTTCAGGCGCTTGCAATGTCACATGTTTGCATTATACGTGTTATCTAATATCTAAGAAAATGAGCACTTAAACATCTTCATCTTAGGTTCATGTCCACTGTGAGAGACATGATCTAAAAAAAATGGAAAAACAAAAAACAAAACAAAACACAGACATCACGATGAATTTTTTTTTTACTTAATTGAATTGTGTGTTACTGCTGCAAATGAACACCTGTGAAATTCAATGCTTATATTTGGCCCAGTATTCTTTGTTTGCAATTGAAGAGGTCCACAGTTTCCTGTAGTTTTTCTCAGGAGGTGTAGTTTTGCACTGCAGCAGCGATTTTGGCCCATTCCTCCACACAGATCATCTCTAGATCAGCCAGGCTTCTGGTCTGTTGCTGAGAAACACGGAGTTTGAGCTCCTCCAAAGGTGATCAGGTTTAGGTCTGGAGACTGGCGAGGCCACTCCAGAAACTTGATATGCTTCTTACGGAGCCACTACTTGGTCATCCTGGCTGTGTGCTTCAAGGTCAAGACCCAGCCACGACCCTGCTTCAGTGCTCTTACCCAGGTTGAGGAATCAGCCCAGAACCGCTGCTTCCGAGGTTACTGTGGGTAATACACTAAGACGTCATTGAGGATGACCGGGGCCATGTGTTGCGAGATTTTGGGGAACAACCTCCTTCCCTTTCTTTAGGATCACTGATAGGCCAGCAGCTGAGGCCTTGCATGGAGCCCCAGTCCAAGGGAGACTGACAGTTATGTTGAGCTTCTTCCATTTTCTAATAATTGCTACAACAGTTGATCTTTTTTCACCAAACTGCTTGGAAATTGCCCCGCTGCCCTTCCCAGCCGTGCGGATGTCTGCAGTTTTGTCTTTGGTGTCTTTGGACGGCTCTTTGGTCTTAGCCATGTTAGTAGTTGGAGTCTTACTGACTGTGTGGGACGACACGAGTCTTTATGCAGCCAACGATCTCAAGCAGACGCTTTGAATTTAGAATATTAAGTGGAGTGAAATGTTTTAGAGGTCACCTCTGAGGGCCAGAATTTTTGCTGATTGGCAGGTGTTCAAATACTTGTTTTCCTCTGTGTATATATGCAAGAAAAAATAACAAAACATATCATTATATCTTTTTCCAACAGTATTATTGCCCATCCTGACTGTGTCTCCATCATGGTTGAGTCCTGGAGCCTCAGTGACTCTGAGCTGTGAGGTTAAACATTCATCTGCAAGATGGAGGTTCTACTGGTATCAAGCTGTTCCTGGTTTATCAAACAGCTACAGATATGAGCTGCTAGCTGGTAGCATCAATGGGACTGTAGAGAACTCCTTCATCATTACTGGACAGAAACACACAGCAGTATTTGCATGTAGAGCTGGAAGACGAAACCCAGAGTATTTCAGTTTTTACAGTGAACCAAAGTTCATCTGGTCATCAGGTCAGTTCTGTTTATGCTCCACCAGTTAACATGTAATGTTATTTCTCTACCAGATATCCAACGTGCAACTGATCCTCCATTTGAGGAGAGAATAGTGTGAAAGTCACTGGAAAATCCATAAAAATAATTCAGTTCCAAAACATTTTTTATTTTTACTTTAAATGACAATCTATCAATGTTTTGTTTAAGACAAACAGCTGTGCAGCTGTTTGTCTTGCTGACAGTTGAAAAATACTGATGGGTTTAAAAACAAGTAAATGAAAATACCAGTCTGTCATGAACAACAAAAAAGACATATTGGTCTATTTTGTTAGAGAGCTATGTTGCAATAGCTTCTCACCAGGTGATAATCTGAACAAATAAGGGCAGCATTTGAATTAAGATGTGGCTATTTGCACTGATTATTTTCTCCATGTTGTTTTCCAGATCCTCATCCAGCAGCGTCTCTCTCAGTGAGTCCTGACAGAGATCAACATTTCACCTCTGAGTCTGTGACACTGAACTGTGAAGGAAACTCTACTGAGTGGAGAGTGATGATGATTAGAAGATTCAGATTATCACCATTCCCTGGAACATGCTCCAGGCTATCAAAACCAGGATTCTCATGCACCTTCACCAGCCAACCGAGCGATAAATCAGTGTACTGGTGCGAGTCTGAATCAGGAGAGTTCAGCAACGCAGTCAACATCACTTTTCAATGTATGTGTGACGTTGGTTGCAAATTAAACACAGTTTATTGGGCTTACAAAAGCACGCAATATATTTTATTGTACATAAATGACCACACTTAAACCAGAAGTCTATTCTGGTCCTGGAAACCTTACAGCTAAATAATATAGTTAAAATCTTATTGAATAAAGTCTGACTGATTGGGGAGGAGTAATAAACACAAATATAACTAAATACACCTGAGTGTTCCCCAACACTATTTACAAAAATCGCTGGTGAATAAAGCAAGAAAAGAATAACTCCCCTAATGTCAATAAAACAGCTGGGAACCAAGGAACGGTATAGGTCCTTTTGTTTCACAAACAAGGCAGAGGGCTGGACAATAAAAACTCCCCTTCCTTAGACAAAAACCCCCCAAAAAAGAAAATGCTTTGATCAGTAATAACTACCCAGAAAAGAAATTCTAAACTAATACTAATACTACCTGCTTTTAAATGTAAATGCTCATTACCCGTCTCCCTAATAAACCAGCTGCGCTCCAACACAGCTGGTTGCGTCTTCCTTATATGGGCAAGAGGAAGAGTGCGCAGCAACATACTTCCAGGACAGTATGCCCCGGCTACATATGTTGTGTCACTTTTCATTTATTTTAACAAGTTTATCATTTAGTAAAGTAAAACAAAACATTTTCTTCCTCTTTTGTCTTAGATTGAAATTAAATTAGGTTGTTTTGAAAAGCTGCTGCCTCATTTATGTTGAACCTGTCTCCATGAGATTTTATCACAACACAAATTATGGCAAAATTTTGAAATCACTATGGATTTTAATTCCAACCAGTTTTTGGAATTGCAACCTGAACTTTCACAATTAAATTAGTGAAGTTCATGGAGTGACCCTGTGAGTGGGCCACTTCATGAACACCATCTAATAACAAATTGATTTCTGACTGAAGCTTCATTTTCTCTGACTGGTTCACAGATGAAGATCTTCTCCTGATGAGCCCCGTCCATCCTGTGACTGAAGGAGCTTCTGTCACTCTGAGCTGCAGACGGAGAGGAGAAAACAAACTTTCTAATGTGATTTTCTATCATGATGACAAACTGATCCAAAATGACAGCAGAGGAGAGCTGAATATCTCTGCAGTGTCTCAGTCAGATGAAGGTTTCTACAAGTGTAAACACTCAGGAAAAGTTTCACGTCAGAGCTGGATGGCTGTTAAAGGTGAGCAGAGATACAATATTTTTATAACTTAATGAGAAATAATTTATATGAAAGTGATCTTGTTTTTGTGTATTCTCTGATCATTTTCAGCTACTAAACCTGTGTTAACTCCTGGAAGCTCTTCATTTCCTGTGCTGTTTGTCGTTGGCTCAGTGATTGGAGTCGTTCTCTTCATTCTCCTGTTGCTGCTGTGTCGGTTCAGACAGACCAAAGGTGACAACCTGAAGTAGTGAATTTGTATGTTTCACTCTTTCATTTATCAAATGAAGAACTGAGTCATAAACTGAAACACCAAAAACCAAGAGAAGTGATCAAAATAATTACTGAATTTAACACTTTTTTTTTTAAATAGCAATGTTTGGTTGTAATAATGTCTTTCAATTGAAGCATATTTAGTTTGACAACTGAATCAATCAACTTATGTAAGCTCTAAACATGAAGCAGGTCTGTTGGAGTTAAAGCTGGCTTTAGTGTCCAAAACCTTAAATTAATCTAATTAATGTAAACAGCAATTTTCCAAAAGTTTAATAAAAAACTTTCAGATCAGATGTTTTTGTTATGATTAATATCAGTGTATTTCACAAAACTGCAGTCAAAACTCTTCTCAGATCACGAGTCTTGATCAACATTTTGTTTTTCCATTATTGACATATTGTCAATCTTTGAGCACATTTGTATTGGAAATGCAGCAACATGATATGATTTCATGTGTTGAATAGAAGTAATTGGATAATCCGCCATAAATGTGCTTCAAAGTGCTTTAGGATCATTACTGCCACCTGCAGGTCAGAGAGAGAATTGAGGTGAGGGATTTGAGGAAGGTGTTTCAGCAACATGTTTAGGATCCAGTGTAGTTTCCTGTTAAAAACATTTATTACTGTTTCCTTTTCTCCACCATTTTGTGTCACTTGACCCAGTTTATATTTTGATCAGTATTTTATTTACAAACGCAACATTTAAACCCATCCACCAATGTTGAATGTCAAAATTTTACGGTTTTTCTATTTATTTAGGAAGGACATTATATAAAATAAAAATGTCTCTTTTGTGAAAAGGTCCAGGAAGAGTGGAGACTGTCTACCAGGACGAGCAGCAGCAGCCAGTACTCCGCTCTCCTCCATGGTCAGTGTCTCACTTTGCTCTCAATGTTTCTACACATTTTTAACATAAATTATATTCATGATTTTTTATTCTTAATGTTTGATTCTCAAAAAAATGTATCTGGTTTGACTTTTATTTACTTTTATGATATAACAAAAATGTATTGAATAAAATAATAAGATAAAATATATACGTTATTTTTATTTTAACTAATGAGACTGTCTTTGTAGACAAGGGAATAATATGATGCCTGAATATTATCTTTAAATGTCCTTCTGTCCAGCATTATGTAGCTGATCTTAGTCACACAAAAAAAAACACAATAAATTTCATTTTTTTGGCTTTCAACCAATTTAACATGAATTATATAAGTATACTTGAAGCTGGTATTTTTCAGTCATATGTAGCTGGTAATTTCAATATAAACTTAAAAGACATTTCAGTCTTAGCTGTTCTGACGACAATCAACATGTTGAACCACAGTGCAGCTTGTTTCTACAGCAGTAATAAAGTTTCCCCTCCATTGGATTGGATTGATGATATAAATAGTTAAAACTTTTTTTTTAATAACATTCATCTATTTGAAAAAATAATTTGGATAAAATGAATTTAACTTAGAGATGAAAAAATGTGGATAGCGGTTCTAAAGTTAACTTTCCATCAGCATCACTGACACAATGTGACTTTTTTAACTTTTTTGTGTTTATCACTGACTTGTAGGAGACCTCGGAGTTTACGAAACAATCAGACGGCCTGGAAACTACGTAAATGGTACAGTAGAAAGATTTCTCATCATATAAATGCTGTTAAGATCTGCAATTATACAGCAACTTCAAACAATAAACTGAAGGAATAAATTACAGTTTCAGGTCAAGAACAATCGGATTATGCTAATGTCAGCGCCAGGTCAGATTCAGACTGAAGATTTTGTCAAGAGGAATGAATCAACAAGCTTATATTATGTCACGTTTTATTGGGCTCAGAGTTCATCTCAGATTAGTTTTGGTTAATTCATTCTTCGTGGCTCTTGGCTGGGAAAAAAATAAAAAATTCACCCAAAAATTGGTTTGCAGTGTTCTGATGGAACTTCGCCCAAATCAATCTTGTTAATGAGACATGCTATTTCCGCCTCATGAGAAAAAGTGTATATTTTTGACCATAGCGCCACCTACAGCTTAAAATGCTTTAATGTGTGCATCTGAGTAGCAGTGTGTTGTAATAAGTTGCGCGGCAGAAGAAGAACATATAATAAGAATAATGGAAAAACGTAGTAAAAACAACATGGCTCCCTGCTTTGCTTTGCTCACTTCCATGGGCTCAGAACCCAAATAAAGAAATGTTGACTAAATACTGTCTTTGTGTTTTTAGTGTCTTTCTAACTACACAGCTAGCATATTCACATTACCTATGATACAACGTTCTTCAGAGTTGTTGCTGATTCCGGTGGGGAGGAAGAGTCTGCTGTAGCTGTCTGTGTTACAGCGCCTCTGTTGAAGCTGCTGACTGACTCTGACTTCTGTGCGCTCTACTCATGGAGGAAGCTTCTGCACAAAGTGACGTAAAATAAAGAGCAGGCAGAGAAAAACCACAAGACAATTTCATTATGACAGTTTTAGAAATGTTGTCTCCTTTCCAGAAAACTGAATTCAACTGAGACCCTATTATTGCTTCATCTCAACCTAATGCATTTCTGTGTTTCATTAACTGACCCACATTAGTTCACCCTTTTGACTGGTAAATGAAAAAGGATTCAGTTCACTCCTGATGGTAAAATGAATAGAAGAAAGGAGACAATCCTGGCACTTTATTAAATATATTTGAGCTTTCCATACAACTCAGCCAAACTAACCTTGAATTTCCTACTGACACAATACATGAGTACAGTCTTTCTATGAACTAGAATTCCTAGAAAGTCACTTTCTTTTGGAGAACACTGACAGCATGCATATTTCATTTAGGAATCAAGTTTAATAAGATAAAAATGTGTTCAAAGAATGTTTCCATAGTAAAATTTGCACTGTCATTATGTCAGTAATATAAGTTGTCCTGGCTCAATCATCTTAAAAAACTCATAAAGTTTGTAAAGTTTGCACTGAATACAAACGTGTGAAAACAATAGTTTCTCTGAATTTTATCAGAGTTCTCAAACATCCACTAGGAGTCAAGATCTATTGTTTCTCAGGGAAAGTACACAAAAAACAAGAAGAGTCAAAGGTTTCTGAGTTTGTTCTAATCCCTGTTCTGGGTTGCTAGATAAGTATAAGTCAGTAATCTTTCTCTGGACTTTCTAAATTTCAACAAGGAATGTGTACTGCACAGTTTCTGAGTAATAATAAGAACTAAATGTTTCTAAATTTGTTCTAATTCCTTTTCTGGGCTGCAACAATCAGAGTCTGATCCAAAAAGTCATTTAAACACAGTACAACATCGTTCCAAATAGTGAGTACTTTCTCTAAAAGTGATGAGGACTCCACGATTTCTAAAATTACTAGTAAACTAGAATAATGTAAAAAGTACAAGTAAAAAGTATTTTTTAAGTTTGTTCTAATTTCTTTGCTGAAACATTAGCAGAAACATTTTTATTTCTGGATTTAAACATGGACCTCCTGTTGCTCTGTGTGTTGGGCATATTGCGTAAGTACATCACATCTTCTGTTTGAATTGTGTCGGTAAAATCATCTTTAAATGTTTGGACGTTAGTCGCTGTGGCCAACAGAGACGTGAAACGTTGGATGTTGGTTGTTTAGTTTTGCTGCAGACGGTTTTTTGACTTGTATTTAATTTCTCCCTGGTTTGAGTCTTGTCAGAAACTTCTTTATGTGTCTGAACAAAATTTTAGACTTTCAGCATATTTAACTTGTATAGGAAGCCAAGTCATTACTTCTATAATAAGAAATGTTTTATGTTACTAACAGTATTCTGCTAGAATTGAGTGTCAAACAAGATTTTGCTGTTTGGAGACAAAAACAAGTTGGTCTCAAATCTGAAGGATTTTACCCCCTGCTGTTTTGGACTGAGCTTCAGAATGAGTGCCGACTTTTATAAATATGTTTAGAAGTAAATCTTTGGATCCTTGTTTTTCTCTGTAGGATATTGATCATTGAAAGTATTTAAAAATAATAAATATTAGTGACATAGTTTGATCAATTAATTTTTACCCTGTTGGTCAATTTATGATACAGATTGTTCTACACATTTTCATTATAAGAAAATTGTAGTAACTGACATCAAATGAGTAAAAAAATGTTGCATTTTTTCGGGAATGATCAACAGAGTTATATTATTTCCCTAATGTCAGAATGATTTGAATCTTTTTGGTCATTTTCTTCAAATATAGAATTTCTCGTGAATGTTTTTGGTTTTTGGTCATATTGCCGGTTAAGTTTCATGGATTGAAAGTCTTTCATCCTTACAATGGCTTTTTTTAATTTATTTATTTTTTTTCCAGTTTAATTTCTGGTGAAAATGATCATAGGTTTCCAAAATAAAGCAGGAGTGATGAGAGAAGAGGCTCTTTGTGTCCTGGGAAAATGTCTCTAAAATTTAATGATGTTAGCGACAGTTTAACTCCTTTGTCACGTGCTGATAAATGTAAGTGTTTAGAATCTTTGAAAATATGTGTTTTATTATATTTTGTACAGCTTTAAAGGGATTTGGACTCGAGAAACTGTGGTCAGCACTACCAAAGCCAGTCCTGACTGTGTCTCCATCATGGTTGAGTCCTGGAGCCTCAGTGACTCTGAGCTGTGAGGTTAAACCTTCATCTGCAGGATGGAGGTTCTACTGGTATCAAGCTGTTCCTGATTCATCAAAGAACAACTACAGATATGAGCTGCTAGCTGGTAGCATCAATGGGACTGTAGAGAACTCCTTCATCATTACTGGACAGAAACACACAGCAGGATTTGCATGTAGAGCTGGAAGAGGAAACCCAGAATATTTCACTGATTACAGTGAACCAAAGTTCGTCTGGTCGGCAGGTTAGTGTGATTAAATGTAATAAACCATATGCTTCACTGTCATTTAAACTAATTCCTAGTTTGGGAAACATTTCTCAATCCCAAAACATCGGGATTGAGAAATGGAGTTTAATACTTACAAACAAAAGAATGACAGCACAGGGTGGAGAAACAGTGAAGATAACAATTACTTGTTTAAAGAAATATTTATCAATCTATGGATTTGCTTGATGATTGAACATACAGTAGTGTACATGTTAAATAAAATGAAATAAATTCTGTATGAATACAAAAACCCAAGGTTTTATTGTCAGTTTTGTTCTTGATCTCGTTTTTCCTCGTATTCCAGATCCTCATCCAGCAGCGTCTCTCTCAGTGAGTCCTGACAGAGATCAACATTTCACCTCTGAGTCTGTGACTCTGAACTGTGGAGGAAACTCTGCTGACTGGAGAGTGAAGAAGATTAGAGAAATAAGCAATCTATCAGACTGTTCCATCTGGGGAAATGTGACTGGATCCTCATGCACCATTAACAGTGACTGGCCCTTTAAATCAGTGTACTGGTGTGAGTCTGGATCAGGAGAGTTCAGCAATGCAGTCAACATCACCATAGATGGTAAGTTCATAAATATGTTATTTCATTCACAAGAGGAATTTTAGACTGAATGCAACAGGACAGTTATTTTTTTCTTATTATTATTTTGCAGCTTTAATGTAAATGACTTTTTATTTAAAACCCTCATTCTTCCATCAAAGAGTTTCTGATCCAACATGATTACTTTGCATTCAATCTGGTTCTTATATTAGAAAGTCTTTGTTGTTATTTCAGCTGCTGTTAGAAATGTTGATGAAATGTAAATATTTATTTGACATTTACAATTCAGATGAAAGATGCTCAAGATAAAATGTAAAACATCAATGTTAAAAATCATGTGTTCATGTTTTTCTCTAATTGTCTCCAGCAGCTGATTTCTGACTGAAGCTTCATTTCTCTGACTGGTTCACAGATGAAGATCTTCTCCTGGTGAGCCCCGTCCATCCTGTGACTGAAGGAGCTTCTGTCACTCTGAGCTGCAGATGAGAGAGAAAACAAACTTTCTAATGTGACTTTCTATCATAATGACAAACTGATCCAAAATGACAGCAGAGGAGAGCTGAATATCTCTGCAGTGTCTCAGTCAGATGAAGGTTTCTACAAGTGTGAACATTCAGGAGACGTTTCACCTCAGAGCTGGATGGCTGTTAAAGGTGAGCAGAGATTAAAATTTGCTTTTAAACAATGATAATACTATCATTTTTAATGCTTTATATCTCAGCTGTTTCAAGACATGGGAGCTCTTCGTTTCCTGTGCTGTTGGTCGTTGGATCAGTGATTGGAGTCGTTCTCTTCCTTCTCCTGTTGCTGCTGTGTCGGTTCAGACAGACCAAAGGTGACAACCTGAAGTAGTAAATTTGTATGTTTCACTCTTTCATTTATCAAATGAAGAACTGAGTCACAAACTGAAACAACAAAAACCATGAGAAGTTATAAAAATAATTACTGAATTTAAAACTTTTTTTTTTAAATCAAATAGCAATGTTTGGTTGTTATCATGTCTTTCAATTGAAATTATATTTAGTTTGACAACTGAATAAATCAACTTATTTTAGCTCTAAACATGAAGCAGGTCTGTAGGAGTTAAAGCTGGCTTTAGTATCCAAAAACTTAAATAACAATTTTCCAGAGAAAAAGTTCAATAAAAAACTTTTCAGAAAAGGTGTTTTTGTTATTATTAATATCAGTGTTTTTCACAAAACTGCACTCAAAACTCTTTTCAGATCACGAGTCTTGATCAACATTTTTTTTTCCATTATTGATATATTGTCAAGCTAACAGCATTTATTACTGTTTCCTTTTCTCCACCATTTTGTGTCACTTGACCCAGTTTATATATTTGATGAGTATTTTCATTTACAAACGCACATTTAAACCCATCCACCAATGTCGAATGTCAAAATTTTACAGTTTTTCAATTTATTTAGGAAGGACATTACATAAAATAAAATGTCTCTTTTGTGAAAAGGTCTTGGAAGAGTGGAGACTGTCTACCAGGACGAGCAGCAGCAGCCAGTGTACTCCGCTCTCCTCCATGGTCAGTGTCTCACTTTGCTCTCAATGTTTCTACACATTTTTAACATAAATTATATTCATGATTTTTTATCCTTAATGTTTAATTCTCAAAAAAAATTATCTGGTTTGACTTTTATTTACTTTTATGATATAACAAAAACATGTATTGAATAAAATAATAAGATAAAATATATACGTTATTTTTATTTTAACTAAAGTCAATCTCAATATGATGCCTGAATATTATCTTTAAATGTCCTTCTGTCCAGCCTTATGTAGCTGAACTTAGTCACACAAAAAAACACAACAAATGTCATTTTTTTGGCTTCCAACCAATTTAACATGAATTATATAAGTATACTTGAAGCTGGTATTTTTCAGTCGTATGTAGCTGGTAATTTCAATATAACTTAAAAGACATTTCAGGAATGTTAACTTTCCATCAGCATCACTGACACAATGTGAGTTTTTTAACTTTTCTGTGTTTGTCACTGACTTGTAGGAGACCTCGGTGTTTACGAAACAATCAGACAACCTGGAAACTACGTAAATGGTACAGTAGAAAGATTTCTCATCATATAAATGCTGTTAAGATCTGCAATTATACAGCAACTTGAAACAATAAACTGAAGGAATAAATTGCAGTTTCAGGTCAAGAACAATCGGATTATGCTGATGTCAGCGCCAGGTCAGATTCAGACTGAAGATTTTGTCAAGAGGAATGAATCAACAAGCTTATTATGTCACGTTTTATTGGGCTCAGAGTTCATCTCAGATTAGTTTTGGTTAATTCATTCTTTGTCTTGGCTGGGAAAAAATAAGAAATTCAGCCAAAAATGTGTTTGCAGTGTTCTGTTGGAACTTGTTAATGAGACATGCTATTTTCGCCTGATGAGAAAAGTGTATTTTTGACCATAGCGCCACCTACAGCTTAAAATGCTTTAATGTGTGCTTGTGAGTAGCAGTGTGTTGTAATAAGTTGCGCGGCAGGAAGAACATAATAATAAGAATAATGGAAAAACGTAGTAAAAACAACAAGGCTCCCTGCTTTGCTTTGCTCACTTCCATGGGCTCAGAACCCAATAAAGAAATGTTGACTAAATACTGTCTTTGTGTTTTTAGTGTCTTTCTAACTACACACTAGATTCACACATTACTATGATACAACGTTCTTCAGAGTTGTTGCTGATTCCGGTGGGGGAGAAGAGTCTGCTGTAGCTGTCTGTGTTACAGCGGCTCTGTTGAAGCTGCTGACTGACTCTGACTTCTGTGCGCTCTACTCATGGAGGAAGCTTCTGCACAAAGTGACGTAAAATAAAGAGCAGGCAGAGAAAAACCACAAGACAACTTTATTATGACAGTTTTAGAAATGCATTATGTTGAGATGAAGCTCTGATAGGGTCTCAGTTGAATTCAGTTTTCTAGAAAGGAGAAAACATTTCAGTGATTCTTTAACTGACCCACATTAGTTCACCCTTTTGTAAAAAGTACAATGTATTTTTTAAGTTTGTTCTAATTCCTTTGCTGGGTTAAATAGAGAGTTTCTAATGTGTAATGAATAAAATGGGGAATGACATAAGAAAAATGGACACATTAGGGCACATTGCAACATCCAGACAAACAAAGACATGAGTGAAAGGCAGTGACATCACGGAGTAGTTGTCATGTGCCATGACAGCCACATAGCTCAGTGTCCCAAGAAATAGTCTGATGGTTTATCTAAGAGCCTGTCCTTGTAGCGCCCACCTCATATGAATGACAAGAGGAGCTGGTGAGGTGGGAAGGAGCGTCATGTTTACATGTCTTCCACTAGATCTGAAATATGCAGCCCATCCAAGGCCAACACGAGTTTGGAGTCCTCAGATGGGCTGTGACTCTCAGCAAGACTCACATCCAACTTGCGTCTCGGTTCACAACAGTCCGAGGGTTCGCTAGTTTGGCCAAGTCCATCACAAATTTGCCGATTTGCAAAAAAACGCAACTCCAACAGCAGAAATCCTGTTGTCATGAATAAATCCAGAGTGAATCCTGCTGGACGTGTCCCCGCAGGACAACTGGGCTTTCCTGTGCCCAGTCTTCTCAATTGCATTGAGAGACCGGTCGGAAGATGTGCAAAAAAAAGGCTCCAAAAATAGAGAAAAGGACGAGACAAAAACAGAGAAAAAAAAATGTTTCTGCCTTCACCAAGAGCTGCGAAAAGGTGTGAATTTCGTCAGCGTTCTCAGTCCACTATGAGTCAGTCTCTATTCTGTCTCAGGGAAAGTACGGCGCAAACAACAAGTCACTTTTATTAGAACCAGCTTAGAATCTTGCCCCCAAACTATTTAAGCTAATTTAGAAAACCACAGGGAAGCTTCGATGCTCATGTAAGACCATTTTCAAATGATATTTTTCTTAAAGCATGAATTGTTTTTTTTTTTTTTACAATATCTCACCAGCTCAACTTCTAGTAACACTTTGATGACAAACATGCAGTGTGGGTGCAGGCTGCTAAATGCGCTGCTTGTTTTTGTGGTGGCAAAGAAAGGAAATTATCTGTCAAAACAGGAACTGTAGGTCAGAAACATTAATAGTTTCTTCAAAAGAAGGAAGCACAAAGACGGATGCTCTGTGGTGACGACCCTCGACATTTTCCACTCATTCTGCGAGTTTCAGCCTTTCTCTTACGACCAACATCTGAATTTCTGGTGCGCACAGAGGAGCAGAAACATTTTTATTTCTGGATTAAACATGGACCTCCTGTTGCTCTGTGTGTTGGGCGTATTGCGTAAGTACATCACATCTTCTGTTTGAATCGTGTCGGTAAAATCATCTTTAAATGTTTGGACGTTAGTCGCCGTGGCCAACGAGACGTGAAACGTTGGATGTTGGTTGTTTAGTTTTGCTGCAGACGGTTTTTTGACTTGTATTTAATTTCTCCACGGTTTGAGTGTGGTCAGAAACTTCTTTATGTGTCTGAACAAAATTTTAGACTTTCAGCATATTTAACTTGTATAGGAAGCCAAGTCATTACTTCTATAATAAAATGTTTTATGTTACTAACAGTATTCTGCTAGAAATTGAGTGTCAAACAAGATTTTGCTGTTTGGAGACAAAAACAAGTTGGTCTCAAATCTGAAGGATTTTACCCCCTGCTGTTTGGACTGAGCTTCAGAATGAGTGCCGACTTTTATAAATATGTTTAGAAGTAAATCTTTGGATCCTTGTTTTTCTCTGTAGGATATTGATCATTGAAAGTATTTAAAAATAATAATATTAGTGACATAGTTTGATCAATTAATTTTTACCCTGTTGGTCAATTTATGATACAGATTGTTCTACACATTTTCATTATAAGAAAATTGTAGTAACTGACATCAAATGAGTAAAAAAAATGTGTATTTTTTCAGGAACGATCAACAGAGTTATATTATTTCCCTAATGTCAGAATGATTTGAATCTTTTTGGTTATTTTCTTCAAATATAGAATTTCCCATGAATGTTTTTGGTTTTTGGTCATATTGCCGGTTAAGTTTCATGGTTGAAAGTCTTTGTCACATGCTGATAAATGTAAGCGTTTAGAATCTTTAAAATTATGTGTTTTATCATGTTCTGTAATTTTGTACAGCTTTAAGGGATTTGTACACGCGGATCTGTGGTCAGCACTACCAAAGCCAGTCCTGACTGTGTCTCCATCATGGTTGAGTCCTGGAGCCTCAGTGACTCTGAGCTGTGAGGTTAAACCTTCATCTGCAGGATGGAGGTTCTACTGGTATCAAGCTGTTCCTGATTTATCAAAGAACAACTACAGATATGAGCTGCTAGCTGGTAGCATCAGTGGGACTGTAGAGAACTCCTTCATCATTACTGGACAGAAACACACAGCAGGATTTGCATGTAGAGCTGGAAGAGGAAACCCAAATATTTGACTGATTACAGTGAACCAAAGTTCGTCTGGTCGGCAGGTTAGTGTGATTAAATGTAATAAACCATATGCTTCACTGTCATTTAAACTAATTCCTAGTTGGGAAACATTTCTCAATCCCAAAACATCGGGATTGAGAATGGAGTTTAATACTTACAAACAAAAGAATGACAGCACAGGGTGGAGAAACAGTGAAGATAACAATTACTTGTTTAAGAAATATTTATCAATCTAGGATTTGCTTGATGATTGAACATACAGTAGTGTACATGTTAAAATGAAATAAATTCTGTATGATACAAAAACCCAAGTTTTATTGTCAGTTTTGTTCTTGATCTCGTTTTTCCTCGTATTCCAGATCCTCATCCAGCAGCGTCTCTCGTGAGTCCTGACAGAGATCAACATTTCACCTCTGAGTCTGTGACTCTGAACTGTGGAGGAAACTCTACTGAGTGGAGAGTGAAGAAGTTGAGAGAAATAAGCAATCTATCAGACTGTTCCATCTGGGGAAAATGACTGGATCCTCATGCACCATTAACAGTGACTGGTCCTTTAAATCAGTGTACTGGTGTGAGTCTGGATCAGGAGAGTTCAGCAATGCAGTCAACATCACCATAGATGGTAAGTTCATAAATATGTTATTTCATTCACAAGAGGAATTTTAGACTGAATGCAACAGGACAGTTATTTTTTTCTTATTTATTTTGCAGATTTAATGTAAATGACTTTTTATTTAAAACCCTCATTCTTCCATCAAAGAGTTTCTGATCCAACATGATTAGAAACTCTTTGTTGTTGTTTCAGCTGCTGTTAGAAATGTAGATGAAATGTAAATATTTATTTCGTAAATTTTACAACTGAAATAAAAGATGATCAAGATAAAATATAAAACATCAATGATAAAAATCATGTGTTCATGTTTTTCTCTAATTGTCTCCAGCAGCTGATTTCTGACTGAAGCTTCATTTTCTCTGACTGGTTCACAGATGAAGATCTTCTCCTGGTGAGCCCCGTCCATCCTGTGACTGAAGGAGCTTCTGTCACTCTGAGCTGCAGACTGAGAGGAGAAAACAACTTTCTAATGTGATTTTCTATCATAATGACAAACTGATCCAAGGCGACAGCAAGGAGAGCTAAATATCTCTGCAGTGTCTCAGTCAGATGAAGGTTCTACAAGTGTGAACATTCAGGAGACGTTTCACCTCAGAGCTGGATGGCTGTTAAAGGTGAGCAGAGATTAAAATTTGCTTTTAAACAATGAGAATATCATTTTTAATGTTTTATGTCTCAGCTGTTTCAAGACATGGCAGCTCTTCATTTCCTGTGCTGTTGGTTGCCGGATCGGTTTGTGGCGTCGTCCTCTTTGTTCTCCTGCTGTTGCTTTGTATCATCAAAGGTGAGATTTTCATCTATTTCTGAAATATAGATTATGTTTCATCAATTACACTTGGGCCACTGGATAACAATCTTATGGCAGAAAGCAGAATAAAATTGCTCTGAACAATTGATCATATTTTGAATACATAATATGGGATACAGATGCGTGAATAAATCTGTGTAATAGTAGTGCAAAGTAATAGCATAGCATTACAAAATTATTAGAATTGTACAGTTTAATCTTTCCTTTAGTTTTTCTTCAAAGTAAGCTTTGTTTAGCCTTTTGACAGGCTAGTGAAAGAAAAAAATAAGCTAATCTACAAAACCTTGACTTTGTATGTTATTCAGATCAATTAGGTGATTAATGATAATAAAATAAAACCAACGTTTTTGCTTAATTTTCAACTTCAATTAATTCCAAAAAAAAAAAACAGTCCATCTACTAGGACTTAATTTGTATTTTGTTTTTTTTTTTCTTCAACTTCAGGTACATCTAACCTGAATGGCTCAGTGAGGCCCTCTGACGAGCCTGTGAATGGTGAAGTTTACCCTGTTTAAACACTGAAACATCCAACACAAGGCTGAAAACAGGCCAATTCCACGTGACTGAATTTGGGTCTCGGTGTGTTTCAGGTGCAAACGACGACCAACACCTACTCCCTCCTGGAATTTAAAAACTCCAGAAACAAGAGTGAGTTCCTCCAAAATAATGTGTTTCAGAAACATTGCTTCTTAAAATGCATGTTTATAATACTTTTTTTTTCCCTTTTACCAGGTCGCCATCGTGCACCAGAAGAGGGCGCTGTTTATTCTGATGTGAGAGTGGGAGCTGCAGGGTAAAGTCAGTAGAAACACTGGAAATAAATTGTCAGAACTTCTTTATACGTCAGACTTTCAATAGTTGTGGCTGGAGACTACAGGTTCAGTCACTCAGATTCAACATCTTTCATTTACTTTGTCCCAGTTGAGTTTCAAGAGGTTTCTGTTTGGAAACAGTCATGTTTATCAGTTTTAATCAATCAGAATCCCGTCTGGCTTTATAGACTCAAAACATCCAGAGCATCCGACGCGCAACCCAAACACTCGTTGATGATCGGAATCTTTGCTTTGACGTTTTAAATTAAATATTTGTTGAGTATTTCAAGCTCAAATGCAATATTATCTTTATGATTAAGATCTATTTCACATTTGTCCTAGTCCATGTAACTGTCTTGGATTTGTCTCTGCATTTACAGGAAGGTCCAGTCCAGCAGCAGCCGATGCAGCCATTTATTCTGAAGTGAAACCGACCTCTGGATACTGATGATGCTCCTTGGACTGAATGTTAGAGGGGTTTGTTAAAAAAGATGTTCTCGATATTTAATTCAGATCAATAAGGTATGTGCTCAATTGAATTGCACAAAAAATAGAGTGCTAGTGGAATTAACAATGACTTTGAAGAACAAATGCCATTCTGATTCTTGAAATGTCATTACCTGTTCGACTTTGGATCCAAAACAAATCCTCAGACCCGTGTCAGAAAACATAACTTGTCAATATTTCTCGTCGGTTTCCTGTTTTTTATGTTGTCAAAAACTGAAAGCCACCTGCCATAACCTCCTGTCACACGTAGCTAACTGCAGCAGAGACGCGAAGAGTCAAGACCAGTGCAGAAGGCGGAAAATATTGATTAATATGGAAATTCAAACCAGAGTTTCTATATCTGCATTTCTCTGTTTTGTTTGGCTGTTTGTCGTGTGGCTGCAGTGAGGGATTGTGGGTAGGATTTATGTTTGTTGTCAGTCATTTTAGAGAATTGCTTTAGCATCGTTCTGTCAGTGAGTCGGTTCCTTACTCTAGCTTATGTGCTCATTATGTGTTAGTTAGTGTTCAACCATCCAGCAAAGTAACCACAAGTGAGAGGAAGTCATTATGAACAATGTGTGGGTTTCACATTGACATCTTCAAATAAATATAATCTTTAACGCCGTCAGTTAATTTCTTGAACTATGGGTATTGCTCTTCTTCACTCTGTTGCTGTAATGTTTGTTTTTGCTGTTAATAAACTAACTTTCCACAACATGAAAGTGGTGTAAGTTGAATTTACTTAACTACACTGTGGGGTTGCTGTTGACACGTCTTTGTTTACGCAATTAAACTGCCGATACAGCAATTAAAATTAGCAAAATGCAGTGATTGCAACACTAATTTCAATCAGTTTAATACCAGCTGCACAATATTACTTTCTTTTTTTTTATTACATAAAGTTAAGTTCCATTTACATACTGAATTAATTGAACAAGTTATTTTTGAGTGCATTGTATCCAGAATGGCAGCAGACAATCATTCTCTTTCAGCAAAACATTCTTCCAGAGCCTTTTAAATGAAAAGACACATTTCTTGTTTGTTGGATCCAGTGATTCAGGAACTGGTTCGTCAGTTTGCTTGTAAACCCAAAGTCATATTTTCTTGTTCTAGGATTACATTGTGTGTGTGTCTGCAGTTTCTTCATGCACCACTTTGCAACAAATCAATTTCCCGTGTCTGGCAACATTTTGATGTCTGTTAACAATAATAATAATAATAATAATAACTGCACCTAGTGAAATGAGTCATCATTTGTGATAACATGAAAACAGCACTGAAATCAACTTTTGTCCCTCGTGACATCAGCATGGCTACAAAGTAACGCCACCCATCCACGTCTCTCTCCTCTCCTGACGTGTTTCCAGTTTTCCTTTTCATCAAAACCCGATTGAGAGAAAATCCAGACCACATTCAGAATTCACAATCTCAGAGAAATCCTTCATTTGTGTTTAATTTAAAGCTCCACACGGCGCGGCCATTTTCACGTTGCCTGCTTGGTCCACATAATGAGGCAAAGCGGAGCGACGTTTTAAGGAAACACCACAAACTGTCCCCGAATCCGTCCTCCTGTTTGTCTTTCAGACAGGAGGACAGACATTAGTAACACTGTCTCTTCACATCTGTCCTCCTGCCTGTCTAAAATGTAACTAAATGACTGTCAGGTTACTGTAAAGATTGCGTTAACCTGACTGGCAACCCTGCTGCCCGTAATTTACTGTAAATGTTACTATCTTTTTTCTTCTTTTTTTTTTTTTTTTTTGCTACAGTGTGCAGTGCAGTCTCAGCGTTTCTCTTGTGATAAAGGACTGTATATCTGCAGGACTCAGAGGAGCTGCAACGCTCTCTGTCTGGATTTAAAGATGGGCGGCACGTTGCTCTGTGTGCCGGGTGTAGTACGTGAGTAAAGCCACTTTATTTCTCCTTGAGTATCATGAGAAATACTTGTGAGATCATATTTGAAGCGTGAAGAAAGACGGTTTGGGCTTTAATCATTATTTATTTGAAGTCAGCTGTTGTTTAGCGTTAACTCTTGCAAGCAGTTTGACTGTTCAGACTTTTAGTCTTCGGAGTTATTTGGCATGTATAGAAAGTTGATTACTATTATTATTATTATTCAATGTTTAGTAGGACAGAATGGAAGTTGTTTTTTTAATCTATGAACAAAAACAAATTACCCAGTTTTCCCTCAGACATAAAAGCAAAAATACCTTCATATTTGTCCTTGACTTAGGTTTTTTTTTGCCCATTTATGAAAGTAGAAAAACCTAAACGTTGAGAAGTAACCAGCTTGTGGCTTCTGAAGTCTGATTCTACTGCTGTCGAGTGTGCATGAGTAAATAGGACCCACTGAGGACATTATGTCTGACGTTTTCATCAGAGGAGCTGTAATCTGAGTTTTCCTCTAGAACTTAACGTCTTCCAACCTGGTTCCTGCTTCCTCACCTCAAAAGACACAGCAAACCTGGACGGCAGAGCCGCCGTCATTGAAACATGGCTGCTCAGATATCGTCATAATCTGGGAGATAGTGTGGGAGATTGAGTATTGCAGATCTGTCATCTTTTTGAAGTTCTAACATGCTGTAAATATACTTAATGAAACGCGTACTGCGCAGAGGTCATAGAGGTCAAACAGGGCCTTTACACAGAAAGATCCTGCAATGTAATAAAATAGCTTGGTTTGTGTGTGCGTGCGTGTGTGTGTGCGTGTGTGTGTGCTTAAATGGCAGGAAATGATACTTTTACTCTTTCACATATTTCATGAATCAGTCTGTAGTCAGAACTCATTAAATGCTCTCTTTGAGCCACACTACTGGATTTTAATTCCATTTTAAAATACAAATATTAAATTTAAGCAGTAAATTGTTTTTAAAAAAAATTATTAGTAAATGTATGTATTCCTGCTGTGATTTTTTTTCTTTTTTTTTAATTGTTTGACATCTAACAGAGTTTCAATCTTTGCTTTAGTTCTCGGTGTACTCCTCTGCATTGGAAACCCGACAGGTAATGGTAACATTTTTTTTTAAATTTTCACTCGAACGTCTTCATTTCGTTTCGCCGCAACCGTTTCGGAGGTGGACTCGCTGGCTTGTTTCGGACAAAAGCCCCGACCTGAATTGCCTTGAGAAGGCAGTTCATGCTCAAAAAACAAACAAACAAACAAAAAAACCCTCCAAAAGTAGTTAGCAAATGAGCGACTAAAATTCCTCACACTCACAGAAGGTCATCGCAAACGGCTGACAGCAGCCGTTGCCCGACCAGATCGTAGGTTTAGGTGGAAATCGTCTTTTTTGCAATGGAACGTGTGTTTTTGAGGTTTACCCAAGTCCTCAGTAGAGCTGCCACCATTACTACAAACCCCCAAAACTGACTGATAACACTTTTTCCCCTTAGGAAGGTCTAGACTAATTCTAAGAAAGCTGAATCTTGTCTCTCTCTCTCTTTTTTTTGTTTTTTTTTTTTTGTTCATTTTGTAGAGGTTTTTGTCTTCTAAATACTCACAATGTCACTCAAGTCTAACAGTTGGGAAAAGCCTAAACTATTTCTCTGTCCAGCCAAATCAAGGCCTGTCCTGATTGTGTCTCCGTCGTGGCTGAGTCCTGGAGCCTCAGTGACGCTGAACTGTGAGGTTAAACCTTCATCAGAAGAATGGAGGTTCTACTGGTATCAAGCTGTTCCCGAAGTCTCCCAGAACAAATACAAATACGAGCCGGTGCCCGGCAGAGCCGACGGGACCGAAGAGGACTTCTGCAGAATCAAAGGCCAGACGCACACAGCAGCGTACGTGTGCAGAGCCGGGCGAGGAATCCCGGAGGTTTTCACTCCGTACAGTGAAATGAAGTTTGTCTGGTCAGGAGGTCAGTGTGTGTTCTTCTTCTTCATCGTTCCCTGGGTGAACTTTGATATCTGTGGTCATTTTTGTCACGGAGACAAATGTTTCGATGGAATGAGCTGTTTCATTTGTGTCAAAGGTAACAAAAATGAGCAAAAAGATGCAAAGTATGATTTATTTATAAAACAAAAGACAGATTGGAAGGGGTGGAGAAATTGGGAAGATATTCAGGCCGTGCAGGGGGAGGGGCAAAGGAGGCTTGAGCCCCGCCCTTTTTATGGGCCTGGATATTCCAATTACATCTGTGGAGTCAGTTTTACCAAACTTGACTTCTCAGCTTGACTTGCTCTCCGGTTTGACCTTCCAGGGTTAATTTGATGTCTTTCTCCCCGCTTCTGTCTTCGGCGGGCGTCTCTCCTGCTGAGCCCGATGAAAGCAAAGCACTACACGGTCGACGAGATCCAACTGACGTGTCGCGGCGCCTCTGCCGTCTGGAAAGTGAGGCGGTTCAGGCAGTACTACCCGTCCGACTTGTCGGACTGCTCCGTCTGGGGCAAAATGGCGGGACCCACGTGCACCTTCAGCAGCCGCTGGTACCAGAAAGCGGTGTACTGGTGCGAGTCTGGTTCCGGAGAGTTCAGCAACGCAGTCAACATCACCATACACCGTAGGTTCACGAACATTCATTCATTTTTTTTTTTACTTCATATTCACCGTGTCAAATTAACAAGGTTTTTAGTTGAAGACGTTCATCGTCCGTTTTTTTTTTTTTTTGGCAGCTAATGTGTTTATCTTTAAGCACATCTTGTCTTTTAAGCGCTCGTGCTGCTTTCCACACTCTTCAGATCAGGCTGAATTGGTGCCAAACCTTTGTGCAGGAAAATAAGTAAATAAACAAGTAATTTGTTTGTGCCACTGTCATTTTGAAGACTTTCAGGAAAAATTTCCAGAGGTCACGAAGGGTCAACCATCGCCCTCCGAACCCCCGCCAAAATCAGCAAACATTTTTCTTTGTGTTTCATTAGATATTGACAAAAAGTAAATGATCGACCGAATTAATTAATGATAAATTATATTAATGGAGGTTTAGAGGTCAAAAGGTCAACCAGCAAATGACCTTTAAACTTTTGTTAGCATCTTCAAAGCCAAGCAACAACAATTTCTGCTGCAGGGATCAGCCCAAACATTTTGTCAGGTCTTTCAAATGCATACAGTGTCACTTAGGCCTAACAAAAGATGTCTCATGTCTTTATGAAAAAAAAACATAAAAAGCAAAACTATTTCTGTCCAACAGCGCCCAGGGCGGTCCTGACTGTGTCCCCACCATGGCTGAGTCCCAAAGCCTCAACAACTCTGAGCTGCCAGGTGGAGCCTCCGTCGCCGTTGTGGAGGTTCTACTGGTACAGAGCTGTTCCCGACCAGTCGAAGTACAGCTACCGATACGACCCACTGCTCGGCACTCAGAAGGGCACCGCAAAGAACACGTACGTCACTCTGGGACAGAAGCACACGGCGGGATACGCCTGCAGAGCCGGAAGAGGAAACCCGGAGATCTTCACTGATTACAGTAAAATCACACTGAGCTGGTCCGGAGGTCAGTGCGACTCTAATGGGTGTGATTATTTCATTTACGAAAACAATTTGTTAATTTATGATAGAGGTAGACAGAAGAAACAAAAAGTATTTGGACTGAAAAACTACAAATTATAATAGATTAAAACAAAGGACTGGTTGGGTAGGATGTAGAAACGGTGAAGCTAATGGTGACTTGTTATAAGATAAATTTATCAAATGAAAGGGTTTATTAGATTAAATCCTCAGGGTTGACTATATATTGTTGCACCTGAGGGGAAAAAAAAAAGAATGACATGCCTGCCATCTCATTTCCTTTCTTGTGTTCCAGAGTCTCATCCGACAGCTTCCCTCATGGTGAGTCCTGCCAGGGGAGAAACTGTTCACGGGCGACGAGATCCAGCTGAAATGTAGCGGGACCCCCGGCCTCTGGAGAGTGAGGCGGTTCAGACAGTCGTCCTACAACTCGGACGTTTCCGACTGCTTCAGCTGGGGGACAATGTCCGGCTCCTCGTGCACCTTCCACAGTCGCTGGCAGCAAACCGCCGTGTACTGGTGCGAGTCTGGATCGGGACAGCTGAGCAACGCCATCAACATCACCGTGCACGGTAAAAAAAAAAACACACAAAAAAACACGTTATATGTGGGAGACCAACACAACGTGATGTACAACTGTGAAGTGGGAAGAAAGGGATGCATGATTCTAGGCGTTTTGAAAATTAAAATAGCATACTTTTGCTGGGTTTTGCTTCTACCAGCTTTGCAAAGCGAGTGACTGAAATTGATCTGGTTTGATTTCCATGCCGTCGACACTTTTAATGTTTCTCTTTGAAAAAAGTAATGACATCCATGTCTCAATTCTAGCCTTGTTTTATTTTTCTTCTATTATTATTTCTCTCAGTTCAGATGAAACAAACCGTGAAAGAAATTCTGAAACAAAGTCAACTATTTCTCTTCCCCAGCCGCGCCGAAGGCCGTGCTGACTGCGTCCACACAGTGGGTGCGTCCAGGAGCCCCGGTCACTCTAAGGTGTGAGGTCAAGCCTTCGTCACCAGGATGGACGTTCTACTGGTACAGAGCTGTTCCCGGACAGCCCGACACCTACAAATATCTGCCGCTGCCTGAGAGAACCCGTGAGACTCTGCGGTCCTCCTACGTCATCCGTGATCCGAAACACACGGCGGGATACGCATGCAGAGCCGCATGGGGAGTCCCAGAGTATTTAACCGATTACAGCGAGCCAAAGATGGTCTGGTCTGCAGGTCGGTGTGATTTTATTGAATGAACGTATCGATGACGTCATGTCTGTGTCTGGTTTTAACTGGAAATGCTGCTTGATGTACGGTTAAAAGTTGTGAAAAGAAACAATAAAAAACCCCAGCAAGATTTAAAAAACAAAAACAAAGTATTATTGGTTAAAACAAGACTTGACAAGAATTCTGAAGATATTAGAATCACCTGTCTAAAGAGAAAAAGATTCATCAAAGTAATTTTCATCTTCGTCAACTTTTTAAGATCGTCTTGCTGAAATCCTCCAAAATGACACAAAATGCAAACTGTGTCCCATTTTCAAGTTGGTTTCCTCTCGGTTTGTTTTGCCTCTTTGTTTCTTGTGCTCCAGAGACTTTTCCAGCAGTCGCTCTCACAGTGAGTCCTGCCAGAGACAACCTTTACACTGTCGATGAAGTCCAGCTGACGTGCACAGGAAGCACTGGCGACTGGCGAGTGAGGCGGTTCAGACCGTACTACCAGTCGGACGTAACGGACTGCTCCATCTGGGGGACCATGACAGCGTCCTCGTGTACGTTCAGCAGTCCCCAGTACCACAGAGGAGTGTACTGGTGTGAGTCTGCATCAGGAAAGTTCAGCAATGCAGTCAACATCACAATACTCGGTAAATTCACTTATATGTTGCTTTTTTTCCCCCCCCCTTCCTTTCAAATTTTATCCCATGTTGTCCAAGTCGATGGCTGATAGTTGCCTGCATTCACAGTTAAAGAATTTCATATCAGTGAGTTTGGTAACATTGCACAGCTTTTTAAAGGAGCGGCATTTATGTTTCGTTTCTAAGAAAGCCGAGTCTTTTTATATTAAAATGTTTCTGTTGCTTGTTTTTGTTTTAGATATTGTCTTCTAGATGTTACTCAAAAAAAAAAAAAAAAAAACACACACACACACAGAATATTACATGTCTTTACCGTGGGGCAGTGATTAAAAAGAAGAAAAAAACAACTAAACTATTCCTCTGTCCAGCTACACCGAAGCCCGTCCTGACTGTGTCGACATCGTGGCCGAGTCCTGGAGCCTCAGTAGTTCTGAGCTGCGAAGTCAAACCCGCATCTGCAGAATGGAGGTTCTACTGGAGCAAAGCCGTTCCCGACCTGCAGCAGAACAATTACAGATACCAGGTGCTGTCTGACGGCGTCAGCGGGACGCACGTCGTGCACGGAGAGACGCGCACGGCTGTGTACGCATGCAGGGCTGGAAGAGAAAAAGGACAGTATTTAACTGAATACAGTGAACCAAAGTTTGTCTGGTCCGCAGGTCAGTGTGCTTCTGTTCAATAAACTTAATTTAGGAAGCTGTAGCAAGAAACTTTGAGTCGAATAACTTACTCTGAATAAACCTGTGAGATACTCTGGCGTTTACGGTCCCAGAAAAGGAGATATCAACAGGATTATCGCAACAATTTTAACAGAAATCAAATAAATGCATCAAAACTGTTTCTATTGTCGATGTAGTGTGGGAGGGACAAAGTCAGTGCATGAGTGCAATTTAGTAGATAATTTCTTACATTCTTGAGAGGGTCCAAATAAAAGGACTTTTTTTTATGTGAACAAAATATCAAAATCTGCTTCACTTTTACCCGAGAACAATAAGGAACAGTTTATGAAAAGAAAGAGCAATTCAGTTACTTTCACTTATCCCAGTTTCTGAAAACGAAACCCCTTCAAACTGTCGTAAAATGGCGAGGACGCATCATTTGTCACCCGACCTCCTCTTGATTTCTTTTGGTCTTTCCTGTATTCCAGATCCTCACCCAGCAGCGTCTCTCATAGTGAGTCCTGACAGAGACAAGCTTTACATCGTTGACGACATCAAGCTGGAATGTACAGGAAGCTCTGCTAACTGGAGAGTGAGGCGGTTTAAACAATCATACTACAAGGCGGATTTATCGGACTGCTCCAGCTGGGGAACGATGGCCGGACCCTCGTGCACCTTTACCAATCCCCTGTACCCTAGAGCAGTGTACTGGTGTGAGTCCGGATCAGGAGAGTTCAGCAATGCGGTCAACATCACTGTAGAACGTATGTTTATTGATAAGTTTTGTTTGCTACTCTGTTGTTCGTTTATAATATTCATCTTTCGTCCTGAGTTCTGTTTAAAGTTGGAGAAGTTCCTCGCAGTCATTTTGAGAATATTGCGCAACTTTTAATGCCTCTATTTTAAATAGGTGGTTCCTATGTTTCAGTTTGAAGAAATTTGAGTCGTCTCTTTTCAAGCTACTTATTTTATTTGGTTTTAATTAATTTATTTTTTGTACAATTTTGAGATGCTGGTAATATTACTCAGATCTAACAGAATTTAGATCCTGACTGTGCAAAAGCAAAATGATTTCCTTTCTGCAGCTGCACCGAGGCCCCGGCTGACCGCGTCTCCATCATGGCTGAGTTCCGGAGGCCCGGTGTCTCTAATCTGTGAGGTTAAACCTTCCTCTGCGGGATGGAAGTACTACTGGTACAAAGCTGTTCCTCTTCTATCAAAGAAGAGCTACAAATATGTTCCACTGCATGACGTTACTGTAGGGACTGTAAAGAACGTCCACATCGTCCATGGACTGATGCACACAGCAGGATACGCATGCAGAAGTGGAAAAGGAAAGCCAGAGCTTTTCACAGAGTACAGCGAACCAAAGATTGTCTGGTCTGCAGGTCAGTGTGATTTTATTGAACAAACTTCTTTATTATTGTCTTTGCCAACCAAATGTCTGTGATTGGAGAGAAAAGAAACCCAAAAACATGGGGACGGGAAAAGTTAAGGTATAATTGATGGAATCAAAAGAGTGATTTGAAATGGTTAGGATAATATGATTTCTTGTTTTGAGATGGATTCATCAAAATAAAGCACTGTATTGTCGGGTTTGAGAATACAGTGGTGCGACTCTTAATTTTCCCCAAAAAATAAAAATCAGAACATTTTGCTCAAACTTTCTCTTGGCTTCTTTTTCGTCTCTGTTTTTGATCTCCAGCTTCCAACCCAGAAGCGTCTCTCACCGTGAGTCCCAAGAGAACGAAACTTTTCGCCAATGAGAAAATCCAGCTGAGCTGCACGGGAAGCTCGGCCGCCTGGAGAGTGAACAGGTTTAGACAGTCGGACTCGTCCAACTGCACCGTCTGGGGGAAGATGACCGGATCCTCGTGCACCTTCACAAATCCTGAGAGCGACGAAGCAGTGTACTGGTGTGAGTCCGGATCGGGAAAGTTCAGCAATGCGGTCAACATCACTTTGAAACGTAGGTTTCCCTGCATGTTTTTATGTCCTGATGGCTGTCGGCGAGTCAGAAACGCAGCGTCAGAGTCGAAGCAAGGCTTCATTCGGATAAAAGCGCGTCCACTGATTTCTTCAACAGCCTACGAGATCGTTCACACGTTCACAGATGCTAATTGATCAATTGCATACACTTCACAGTACACTGGCAACATTTTTACTTGAGAAACTGAAGCACAAATGCTCCATAAAGAAGCTGCTGAAACAATAGCGACAAAATAATAGATTGATAGATTACATTCCTAACCAATGCTGCTTACTAAAAGACATCACATTTGTGCAGTTCATGGCGTTACCTTTCATTTTCTCAAACAAAATACTAATAAATGATTAGAGGATGTCAATATTATCATGTGTGAATCAGACAGAGGATTCATTCATAAGGAGAGCAGGTGTTACAAGAACATTTGACAGTATGCTAAACGTCAAATTAGTACAAGGGACTTGCACTAATGACTCAAAAAATCTGTGTACAACCTCTTTTGTTTTTAGTCTTAACAGTGGTTAACTTCCTGTTTCAGTTTTGATTGCTCCTTTTATCTTGAAAGGAAACATTTCTGTTGTAACTGTGTGTGTAAATGCAACATATTGGCAATCAAAACAAAAAAACAAAATACAAAACAGAATATAAGTGTAACAGAGTTGACGAAATGTATCTTGTGATTAGTTACATCATAAGCAGGGAGAGCTCATTATGTAACGACCTTTGTTAAACATTGTGTGACTTAAACTGTGCATTTTATTTCAGTTACATGCTAACATTAATGTTATTTTGAATTGTAAACAATTTATGGGTTTATTTCTAGTAAACCTAAAAAAAATTCATCAGTAAGGTGCCATCCTTTATTTGAGGAAAGGGCGCCAGTGGGGACTTTCCAAGGCGTTTGCAGGCACATTGCAGGTTCTGTTCCTTCCTGTCCCGACTAGAAATTATTTTTCCGCCATGACTTTGGCGCCCTCTCTCTGTGGTGCATCAACCTGGGGTTTTTCTCCAAAGCAGGGCAGCAAATTGACCCGGCATTAAGCTCTGAGATTCATGTTATAATAATGAGTTTTAAGTCTAAACCTTTTGAGCAAGGGTCAGTTTTGATTTTGAAGGATGAACTGATGCCTCAATGTGAAGCCTGACTTGATCTCCTGCCGTGGTTTTCGGAGTCCTGCATTTGTGAAACAGTCGTCTAGTTTTGCGTAAATCCGATCTGGGATCTTTTCGAATGGAGTTTGCATGTTCTCCCTGCACACACACCGTTTCTCTCCAGATACTCTGGCTTCCTGCGACGATCCAAAAACATGACTGTCAGGTTGATCGGTTTTTCTAAAACTGATTAAAAGCGTGAACGATTGCTGGTCCCGTTTGTCTCTGTGACGCCCAGCGATGGACTGGAGACGCCTCTCGCCTCATGACCTCTGCAGATGAGATTTCTGTTAATTGTCTTTTAAATGCTAGTGTTGTAGCTCGGATTTCGCAGAGGATGTAACATGTCTGTACTGTTAAACAAACTAAACTATTTCTTTTCTCCAGCTGCACCAAGGCCCCTGCTGACCGTGTCTCCATCTTGGCCGAGACATGGCGCCTCAATAGCTCTGAGCTGTAAGGTTGAATCTTCATCAGCAGGATGGAGGTTCTACTGGTATAAAGCTGTTCCAAATCGATCTAAAGGCTACACATATAATCTGCTGCCCGGTAGCAATAAGGGGACTGTGCAGGACTCCATTGTCGTTCGTGGTCAGAAACACACAGCGGGATACGCATGCAGAGCTGGAATCGGGAGCCCAGAGATCTTCACCAATTACAGTGAGCCGAAGATGGTCTGGTTAGCAGGTCAGTGTGTTTGAAAGAACTGCTTTATCTGCGATCATTTCTATCACTAGAGCAAATGCTAATTTCATCCGAAAAATGCCGTTTGATGTATGCTGGAAGTCTAGAAACGGAGGAAAGAAAACATGGGGATTGAAAAACTAAACAAAGTATGACTGACAAAACCAAAGAATGGATGGTGGAGAAATTGAGATATTAGGATTACTTTTCTAAATATAGATTTATCAAGCTAATTAATTTGCTTGTCAATACTTTTAGGATTGAGAATACAGAGTTGAACTTGTTGAAATCTGCAGAGTCACCTGCAGGAGGAGAAACCCTCGGAAATGATATTAAATAATCATTCTCGGTTGACTTTCTGTTGCAGATTCTCACCCAGCAGCGTCTCTCACAGTGAGTCCCGCCAGAAAAAAACTATACATTGTTGACGACATCAAGCTGGAATGTAAAGGGCGCTCTGCTGACTGGAGAGTGAGGCGGTTTAGCTATTTATACGGCCAGTCAGACTCATCCGACTGCTCCAGCTGGGGAGCAATGACTGGATCCTCCTGCACCTTCAGCAGTTCGAAGTACCATGAATCAGTGTACTGGTGTGAGTCTGGATCAGGAAAGTTCAGCAATGCAGTCAACATCACTTTAAATTGTAGGTTCATTTACATATTTTTTCCCTCTCCTACTTTAAAGATTTGTGGTCCATGTCGGTTTATGATATTTACCTTTTGCCTGAGTTCTGCTCACAGTTTGAGCTCAAAGCAACTGCATGGATAACATCGCACAACTTGTAATGCCATTATTTTAAAGCAGTGGCATCCATGTTTTATTTCACTTCTATGAATCTAAGAGTTCTTAGTTGCTAAGACTCTTGCAATCTGGGTTTTAGAAACTCTTTAAAAAAAACATGTTTTTACATATATAAAATTGTGGATGCTGTCTTTGAATAGTAGCCATGTTACTAACAGACGATGTCACATGTTTTCACATAGTCGCATGAACTATTTCTCTGTTCAGATTCGCCAACGCCCACACTGTCTGTGTCTCCATGGTGGCTCAGTCCTGGAGCCTCTGTGACTCTAAAATGTGAGGTAAAACCTTCTTCTGCAAAATGGAGGTTCTACTGGTATAGAGCTGTCCCCGATCCATCACAGAAAAACTACACACACGATCCACTGTCCAACGTTACCATGGGGACGGTAGAGGACGTCTACATCGTCTATGGACAGAGACACACAACAGGGTTTTCATGTAGAGCGGAAAACCAAACGAAGAGTATTTCACTGCTTACAGTGAGCCGAGGTTTGTCTGGTCTGCAGGTCAGTGTGATTCCACTTTATGAATTGGTTTATCGCTCGCTTTGTTAATGTAACGAAACAAATGCCGGTCCTCATTTTGAGTGAAATTGTTTCATTTTATGGTAGAGAAATGAAAAACAGACACACGATAACTAAAAACGTCAAAGTAGAAACGATGTAAACAAAAGTGATTTGACAGGGTGAAGAAAGAGTGACGATAATTCACTTGCTTTAAAATGGATTTGTCAAGCTAATTACTTAGCTACATTTTTTTGAAAAGTCTCAGGATTTCAAAAACAGTTTAAAGGCAGAATGTGAATCATTTTCATTAAACCTCCTCTTGATTTTTTTGGTCTTTCCTGTATTCCAGATCCTCACCCAGCAGCGTCTCTCACAGTGAGTCCTGACAGAGACAAGCTTTACATCGTTGACGACATCAAGCTGAAATGTACAGGAAGCTCTGCTGACTGGAGAGTGAGACGAGTTCGACAATCATACGACCAGTCAGACGTATCGGACTGCTCCGGCTGGGGAACGATGGCCGGATCCTTGTGTACGTTCAGCAATCTCCAGTACAATGTAGCTTTGTACTGGTGCGAGTCTGGATCAGGAGAGTTCAGCAACGCGGTCAACATCACCATGCACCGTGGGTTTCTTTACATTTCCCTTTCTTCTGATTTTCGATGTCTATATTATTGCTTTCCATGCTATTTATTACAGGTTTAGTTTTGTTCCGAGTTATTTTTCAAGTTTGTCAGAAGTGGAGGGTTGTTAGTGAAGGAAGTGTCTCCTTTTGTGTCGACGTGTCGAAACATGTGTTAAACAAGCCAGGAGAATTATTAGAGGTGGGGTCAGATCCAAAGTATTGATAACAATGGTCAACAATCAAAAGATTTTGTGGGGTTTTCAACTCAATGGTTTTTCAATTTTGATGAGCTGTATCCAAAATCCACATTGATTTTGTTCAATCAGAAATCAGGTCAACTCTTTGAACTAAGCTACATATCAGTTTGGGATAAAAAAAAAAAAGTACTTGTTCCACTGGCAGATTATTTCACTTAGAACAAGACATCTTTCCTATGTTATGAATAAATTTATCTGCCAATGGAACAAGTACTTTTCCATCAATATTAAGAAATTATTTACCAAAGATCAGTTCCTATATCTCACTGAAAAGTTACTTTTAAGTTAGTTTGCTTCACTACAAGATATTTACACTTGAAACTAGACCAAAAATACTTGGTAAGATTTTGTGATTTTGCAGTGAGAAAGGTTTCTTTTTAAAAGTCCTTTGAGTTGACCTGATATGTTGTTGTCTTTTAAATGCTAGTAAATATCAAACAGAAGATGTTCCATCTCTTTCCATGTGCGAGGGGAGAAAAAAAACTAAACTATTTCTCCTGTCCAGTTGTGCAAACGCCCCGACTGACCGTGTCTCCGTCGTGGCTGAGTCCCGGCGCCGCGGTGACTCTGCGCTGCGAGGGGGAGCCTCAGGCTGCAGAGAGGAGGTTCTTCTGGTATAAAGCTGTTCCTGATCTGTCGCAGATTAAATTCAGATACGATTTGCTGCCTGACAGCGTCGACGGGACAGTAGAGAACTCCTTCGTCGTTCACAAACAGAAACACACAGCAGGATACGCGTGTATAGCCGGATGGGAAAACGTAGAGTATTCCACTAATTACAGTGAACCACAGTTTGTCTGGTCAGCTGGTCAGTATGTTTCTGTTGAATAAACACATTTACAATTACCTCTGTCAAATTAAGGCCTGCGATCATTTCTGTCTGTAAAGCACAGTCATTTTAATTGAACTGTTTAAATGATACTAAAGGTAAAAAAAATAAAGCATAATTCATGATGGCAAAAGATTAAAACAGAGAAACTTGTAGAATTACTTGTTTAAAGATAGATTTCAAACGAATCATTTATTATCTTCTCGGGATTGAATAGGCTATACATTGCTGCACCTGTTAGACTTCGTAAAGTCATCTACACAATCCTTCAGAATATCATAGAACACAGAACATGTGTGATTTTCATTTTGATTTTCTCTCGGTTTATTTTGTCTCTTGTATTTCAGACGCTCACCCAGCAGCGTCTCTCACAGTCAGTCCAGTAAGAGAAAAAATTTTCACTTTCGACGAAGTCCATCTGCAATGCACAGGAAGCGCCGCTAACTGGAGAGTGAAGAGGACGGCGGAATCGTCCGCCTCGGACTGCTCCGTCTGGGGGGTAATGACCGGATCCCTGTGCACCTTCAGGAGCCGCTGGTTCCACAAAGCGGTGTACTGGTGTGAGTCTGGATCCGGAGAGTTCAGCAACGCAGTGAACATCACCATACACCGTAGGTTAATTTATGGTTTTCATCATCTGACTTACACTTTTTTGGGTTTTTTGCACCATGTTGTTGATGTCAGTTCATCAGTTTTCAGCTTTGAGCTTAATGTCGAAGAACAAAGGAATCGACTTGACAACATCGCACAGTCGTTGGTTTGTTGCACAGCTCGGCTGTACGATCGCCGTCACACTGCCACTTAAATTTCACATTTATTTACAATGAAAAACAAACCAAATCTAAACTGTTTGTGTCCAGTTGCACCGATGCTTCGCCTGACTGCGTCTCCGTCATGGCTGAGTCACGGAGCCTCAGTGAACCTGAGCTGTGAGGTCGATCCTCCGTCTGAAGAGTGGAGGTTCTACTGGTACGAAGCTGTTCCCGATATATCAAGAAATGACTACAGATACGAGCTGCTGCCCGATCAAGTCAATGGGACGAGCCAGGACTCCCTCATCGTTCATGGACAGAGACACACAGCGGGATATGCATGCAGGGTGGGATATGGAAACCCAGAGTTTCTCTCTCGATACAGTGAACCAAAGTTCGTCTGTTCTTCAGGTCAGAGCGGTCCTCTTCTTGCAATTAACGTGTTTTTGTGATTTAGCAACCTGACCTCCCTTTATGCAGTTTTTACCGCACAGAGGTTGGTCAAAGTAAAAACATACAGATAAGACTTTATCGCTGGAAAAGAATAGAAAGTATTTGTAAAGGGTATAAAAAGAGGGGTGGATGATTTGTAGTGATTTATTTTTTCATCCATGACCAACTATCAACACTTGTTTAAAGGTTTAGTTCAGAAAATGTTTTATTTTTCTTCACTTAGACTCCATGAAAGGTTTTAATTTGAAGCCAGAAATTCTGTTCCTGAATTGAGGACCTGTTTCTTCCCCTTTCCTTTCTACTTCACTGATTTCACTGATTCCTCTGATCACGTTGTTTTTCAGATCCTCATCCAGCAGCGTCTCTCTCAGTGAGTCCTGACAGAGCGCAACACTTCACCTCTGAGCCGGTGACACTGAGCTGTGGAGGAAACGCTGCCGAGTGGAGAGTGAAGGTGACGAGAGAGTTAAGCTTCTCGTCGTACACCGACTCGTGCTCCACCTGGGGGGCGATGAATGAATCCGTGTGTAACTTCAGCAGTCCACAGTCCTATGAAGCAGCGTTCTGGTGCGAGTCTGAATCAGGAGAGCTCAGCAACGCAGTCAACATCACAGTGCAAGGTACAGCCTGTGTGTGGTTTTTCATTCGGTTCAGCAGCTTCATCATCTCTGCAAGCCCTACAAGAGTGAAAAGAAAAAGTGTAAAATGTCTTAATCATATTTAATTTGATCTATAATCAAATTTTTATTCCGCTAATAAGTTGCCTATTAGTCTCATCAGGATTTCACTTTAATTTCCTACTTTAAAAAGTGCCTTAAACGCATCAGGCGAGCAGCTCCTCCTCAGGACCTGCTGTACAAATTCAGCTCCCCTTTTGTCAAAAATGCAATGCGACTGGCCAAATCTTTGTCGACTTAGATAACAAACATTTTCTTCTTCTGTGGTGTAGAGAATTAATGTAAATTAGCTTGTCTGAAAAGCGTTTCCACTTTTTCATGCAACCTTTTTGGTGTTAGATTTAGTTTCAGGGTGTAGAGATCACAACACAAATTGTTCCCAAACTTTGAAATCACCTTAGATTGGCCGTCATAACCAGCGTTTTCATGTGCACTGTAGAAATTGACCTTTACAAAATGCAATAGTATCAAAAAGTAGTCATTGTTTAGACACTTTTATCCTTTTGAATGGATAATTGATTTCGTCTGATTCCACAACAAAACATGCTAATGGCTAGTAAAAAAAGATCTCTTCACAAAAGGTAGAAATATGCAAAATAATAATTGATTGCATGAATATTAACTCTATCAAGTCAGCATTAGTTAGATGTACACATGGTCTCAATCTGGACAGTTTTCCTCCATTCAAAATTCAAACATCGGCTTTCACTTTCACAAGAGTTGTTTTTTTTAAAGAACAAATTTTTTGTCAACAAAGTACATTTTGTTACATCTTGATTAAACTAACAGGCTCCACATATTTATCTTTGGATTATAATTCATCGTCATGAAGACTTCCCAGCTGTCAACGCGTCAATAACACGTCTGGATTTTAATCCAGGTATTCTGTTGACGCCAAATGTTGCTGTGTCGTTGAACATTGTGAAAAGTTGGTGTATGTTTGTCAAAAAATATATGTGTTGAGTTTGTCGTTGATAACCTGCTCTAAATGTCTCCAGCAGCTGATTCCTGGCTGGAGTTTAACATCTTCTGACTGGCTTACAGATGGAGATCTGCTCCTGGTGAGCCCCGTCCATCCTGTGACTGAAGGAGCTCCTGTCACCCTGAGCTGCGTGACGAGAGAACAAGACAAACTCTCCGACGTGATTTTCTATCACAACGACAAGCTGAGACAAAACGACGACCGTGGGGAGCTGACGATCTCCACAGTGTCTCGGTTAGATGACGGTTTCTACAAGTGTGAACATTTAGGAAATGTCTCTCCACAGAGCTGGGTGGCTATTCAAGGTTCAAGCACTGCCTGTGATTTAGCAATTGATGTTTTATTTATTTTAAGATAAATTCTTAATACTTTTGTTTTGTTTTGCAGCCGTTTTGAAACAGAGCAGCTCTTCATTTTCTGTAATGTCGGCCGTCGGGCCGATTTGTGGAATCATCCTCGTTGTTCTCCTGCTGCTTCTGATTCGCTTCATAAGGCTCAAAGGTCAGACTTTCATTTTCTTATGAAGTGCCAATGGTTGATGTTTGATAAGTCACACTCACTTGCCAGCAATCTCATGGTAGAGATAAACAGAAGAGAAACACTTTGAACATGTGATCATTTTACTTTAAATAGAAGTAATCTAAGGTTGTATTCACACCAGGAAAGTCTTTTGATCCAGACCAAAAGAGGACTTTATTTATTTTATTTTTTCGTTAGGTATGCTTTGCATTCGAATTGGACTTTTTAGCAAGCCGACTGTAATTTGTAAACAAAGTCATTTGACAATCGAGGGTCCGGATCAAGGCCGGTCTGCGTTCACACCCGAAGTGAACCGTGTCAGAATTCACTTGGACGCACAAAATGTGGATGAAATGCCAGGACCAATGCGGGAAACGAACTCTGGTTCATTAAAAACCCGACTGAATGTGTCGGGTGTGAATACCCCCTCATTAGAATATTATGGAATTAGTAAAGTCAACTTTGAAACACTTGCTGATATTTTTGTTCATAAATTGTGTTTTGCTTTTTGAAATAGCTACAAAATGAAAGAGACAACTTTTTGTCACTTGTAGTTAACCTACAAATATTTGTATTTATCAGTTTTCAACTGATAAATTCTGCTCTATTAGAAGCCAAAGTTAAATAAAATTAATATGTCATGATACAACTGTGAAAGGAAATCATTTGTGTTGTATTTTATTAGGCACTTCCTACTTCTATGACTTAGTGAGACCCACTAAAGAACCTCCAAACGGTAAAGTTTACCTGCCGAAACTCTGAGCTATCCAAGAAAAGAATGACATCAAGATGACTGAAATGATGTGTTAATTTGTTACAGATCCAAAGAAAGGTCAAAGCATGTCCTACTCTCTCCTTAACTTTAAAAACACTGGAAACTTGAGTGAGTTCCTCCAACGTTGTCGGGTTAAATAAATGTCCTGAAAGTTTCATTTTCAAAGAGCCTAACTTTTTTTGTGTTTTTTTCCTTTTGTCAGGGCCCTATCTGGAACCAGATGACATCCCCGTCAATACTGACCTGAGAGTAGGAGCTGCAGGTACAGTCAGCAGAAACAGAAATCGTTGCACGTCATTTGGTTAGAAATTGTCAGAACTTATTCATATTCCAGGTTTTCAATAGTTGTGGATGGAGACTACAGGTTCAGTCACTCAGAGTCGACATCTTTCATTTACTTGGCCCTATTTTGAGCTTTAATATGCTTCTGTTTGCTTATCAGTTTTAACCAATCAGAATCCCACATGGCTTTATGGACTAAAAACATCCAGAACATGTGACAAACCCAAGCTCTTGTTGATGGAGTGTTTATGTTTGCGTTGGCATTTTAAATTGAATATTTGCTGAGTATTTCAGGCTCAAATACAGTATTATCTCCATGGTTAAGATCTGTTTCACGTTTGTCCTAGTCCATGTACTGCCTCACCTGATTCCTCTCTGCATTTACAGGAAGGTGCAGTCCAGCAGCAGACACAGCCGTTTACTCTGAAGTGAAACCGACCTACGGATATTGATGACGCTGTTTGGACTGAATGTTAGAGCGGTCTGTTCCAAAAGACAGCTTTAGATATACATGAGTGAGTTACGATCCAGATATCAAAATATTTAATTCAAGATTGGTTCGAGAAAGCAATTGCCATATTCCAATGTGGAAACAAATGCCTTTCAGCCATGGAGAAGATAACCAAGACAAAAATACAGGGTCAGGTAAAACGTATCTTATTTCAAGATGAAATCAGAAATAGGTGCATTTATCCTATAAAATGCATCAAATTCTAAAACACTAAACCTGACATCATTGAGGTTGAGGTTTACATTCTGGCTGTATAGTTTTAAGTGAACACAAGGCAACAAAAACAAGTGTATGTCACAACCAGGGGCCAGTGGGGGCTTCTGATATGGGTGACATGGGCAACCGCCCAGGGTGGCATCTTCTAAGAGGCAGCATGGGCCCCTGCGGTGCCCCCCGCTTTCACAATCGAGGGATCTGAATAAAGCACCATCACCCCCAACTTGATAGACTGGTGATATCGCTCGTTTGTTTACGTGACTGCATAGTGAAAGGGTGAGGGGTTACTGTGGTCACACGACATTTTTCTGACTAAATCAGAAACATGATAAAAGAGGAAGTCCCAGATGGTTGTGAATTTAGGCCTGTATGACATAAAAAGAGCAGTAACAGTGGGACTTTAGCAATGACTTTGAAGAACGTCGTCATTCTGATGCTTGGAGTCATGACATGTGGAAGAAATATTTACTGACTGGAGCGACAAGCAGCTGCAGCTCAAGTAATGATGACGGGTTTGTTACACAAGCGTTTGGTTTTCATAACCACCAGCTGATGTGTCACAAGTTCGTGGATTTCTGAACTTCCTGCTGAGTAGTGTCGAGCGGCGGCCTCAGTCCGTGTTGCCATGTTTGCTTTTTAATCATGGACGACTGAGCCGTCGCCGTGTCGACCTTCTGCTTAATTAAAAGGACAAAGATTGATACGATGAATGTTTCTTAATGCAGATTTTAAAACCAATCTATTATTTTTTTCTTGTTGAGCTATGTTGTGTCATTAGATGTTAAATGGAAGACAGTCTGGTTGTCAGAGGTATTGAGATGATTATTGAAGGCCAAAAGGTTAACGGTTTAGTTATATCTATATGTCTAATAATTCTTTGATGTTTCTTGGATCTGACTTGCTAATCAAATTATGTTATGTGAAAATATATTTTTAATATATCTGTAATAAAAATGTTTTGTGGTGATTTTCATATCTGCAATAAAAATGTTAATCTGTGAAAAGCATGAGTGTGAAATAACTACAAGTTGAGCTCGACCTTGCTGTGAGAGCAGTCAGATAAGGAAGCAGGCAAAGCGGCTTCAGGTCAGCTGCAGGAGACAGAGAAGCAAACTGTAACTGTAAACTCGGCAATGTGAGGAGTTCGGAGAAGCCATGGAAAAGGACTTCCGCAAAGCTTCAAGGTGATTCTGGTCCAGCATCTCAGGAGGGGAAAGCAGTGCAGCACCAACACTGGTTATAGTGAGGATGGTGTCCTGCTGACCTCAACTCGGGACGTTGTGGGCCGGTGGGCAGAATACTTCAAAGACCTCTTCAATCCCACCGACGTGCCTTCCATTGAGGAAGCTGAGCTTTGGGACTCTGGGTTGGGCTCTCCAATCTCTAGGGACGAGGTCGCCGAGGTAGTTAAAAAGCTCCTTGGTGGCAGGGCCCTAAGAGGGGGTACTTGGGTGGATGGGTGGATGGGGTAGAAGCTGCTGATGGGTACCGGCGGGGAACCGGAAATGTGCTCCAATTATAGAGAGGTCACACTCTTAAGCCTCCCTGGCAAAGTCTATTTGGGGGTCCTGGAGAGGAGGGTCCATCGGAAAGTCGAACCTCGGATTCAGGAAGAGCAGTGTGGTTTACATCCTGGTCGTGGAACACTGAACCAGCTCTACACCCTCACCAGAGTCCTGGAAGGTGCATGGGAGTTAGCTCAACCGGTTTAAATTTGTTTTGTGAACTTGGAGAAGCCGTTTGACCGTGTCCCTCAGGGAGCCCTGTTGGGGGTTCTCTAGGGGCACCGGGCCCTTTGATACAGGCTGTCAGGTCCCTGAGTGACCAGTGTTAGAGTCTGGTCTGCATTGCCGGCAGTAAGTCGGGCTCGTTTCCGGTGGGATTTGGACTCCCCCAGCGCTGCCCTTTGTCACTGATTCTGTTCATTACTTTCATGGACAGAATTTCTAGGCGCAGTTGAGGTGCTGAGGGGATCGCATCTCTGCTTTTTACGGATGATCTGGTCCTGTTGGCACAACGTGATCTGCAGCTCTTGCTGGAATCAGCCAGGATGAGGATCAGTGCCTCCAAATCCAAGGCCATGGTCTTGAGACGGAAAAGGGTAGAAGTGCCTTTTGAAGATGATTCTGTTGAACCACAATTCACCAGTAATGGGGGAGGAAGTGCAATAATTTACTATAAACCCAGCAACTACTACTACGTATGCGAGAACAGGCTTGCACATACTGAATTTTTTTCACTTGAACTGATGTGAGAGATGCTGGCTGACATGAAAAAAGAAGTGCAATCTGACATCATGTTCACACTGAGAGCTTAGTTTATGTCCACTTCTTAGAATCAAGAATGAGCTTAATTTACAGAAGCAGCACACAGAGGTGTCAAAACGAAGAGACGTCTGTGTTCTGCTGATAAACCCTCTTGCAGAAGCAGGAAGCATTAAGCAGGCCTAATGATGGTGTCTTTGCAATGCCGCTTTCCACAAGTTATCAAGACAAAGTAGTGATGGCAAAAAAATGATTTATTTTACAGTATTTGGTGTAACTTGAAGTCCACAAGTTTTATCACATGGCTGGTCTGGATTTAAAGGCACTCAGTATTTCAGCTGTTTTGCAGTTTTCTGGACGTTTGTTCCAGATTTGTGGTGCAGAGAACCTTAAAGCTGCTTCTCCCTGTTTGGTTCTGGTTCTGGGGATGCAGAGCAGAACCAGAACCAGAAGACCTGAGAAGGTTGATACAACACCAGAAGAACTTCAATGTATTGCGGCGCTAAACCGTTCAGTGATTTATAGTGTTTTGATTTCTTTTGCTTTAAATTGATTTTTGTTTGTAAATGTCTTTGTTTATTCTTTTAATAACTAAAGCTGAAAAAGGATCAACTTTAAGTAAAGATACCAAACATGTTGCAAGGTACAAAAAAAAGAAAAAAAATACTTCTTGTATTTTACTAGAGCACTTCCTCAAAGCACCCAGCTCTAAGCTGAAACCATTTTACTCAGTTTGTCACGTGTTTTATTATTATTCAGAACTTAACAACATTTAAACATGAACAACATTAAAGCTAAATGTTGTTTCTACTCTGTCATTAGTTTGTAGCTCAGATTGCAGACAGAATACAGACGTAAAGAATATTTAAGTTCCTTGTCTAATAGAAAAAACATCAGATTTAGATTTGAATCAGTGACATGTTAAGTAGGAGTCGCAGCTTAAATACACATGAAACATGATCATCTCCTAATGATGTGATATGATAGATGAAATAACATGAACGCACAAGATGAAATCAATGTTGATTTCATGCAAAACAATCAAGTTTATTTATTGTCCTTGAACAACAAATGAGTCACTGAATATATTTGAAGTGTTTCGTTGAATTATTTGTTTTTCCACCAATGTGTAACCATGGCTACATTTTATTTCTGATGGTTGGACATGAAGTGATGGAGGAACAAGTGTCAAAGTATGCTGTGGTGTCAAGAAACAGCGGAGCTAAGAGTGTGAAATGGAAACAGGGCGTCTGTAAATAGTTTGCATTGAGTTTTATGCTCAGATCCTCTTTAGCTGCTGGTTTCTCAGTTTGTCTCTTGCCAAACCAGAGAGACACATCAGCAGTGTAGGACGTGAAGATGGACAACGTCTTGCTCTGTGTGCTGGACTTCCTGAGTGAGTACATGACTTTTAATCGAGCAGATCGAGGGAAATGCTTGAAATGAGAAGATTAGGATGAGATTCATTTGTTGTGTTCACTTAAAAACATAAACTGAGCAAACATCCATTTTTACGCTGTTTCAGTTCAACTTCAAACTGGCCTAAAGCAAATACAGAAAGACAGCACAGCTATTGACCATTTACTGATAGATCTGATAAAGTACCAATCTTTATTTTTTGCAGTTCTCAGTTTTCTCTGCTGTGGAAAATGTCAAGGTAAATGGAAACTCCTTGTTTCTGAACGTTTATTAAACCATTTGGTTCTGATCAGCTGCATGTCAGCAAGTTTCAGGCTCCTTTATTATCATTTGTTCAGTAAAAGGAAGCAGTGGATTATTATCAATATTTTATATTTTTCTACATGTTCATGTTAACAGCACATTGACTTATAACATTTCATGTGGAATTTTATTTTCCTCTTGTTTTTTTATTAATCCCATCCATTGGCAATAGAGTCCATCCTGACTGTGTCTCCATCATGGTTGAGTCCTGGAGCCTCAGTGACTCTGAGCTGTGAGGTTGAACCTTCATCTGCAGGATGGAGATTCTACTGGTATCAAGCTGTTCCTGATTTATCAAAGAACAACTACAGATATGAGCTGCTAGCTGGTAGCATCAGTGGGACTGTAGAGAACTCCTTCATCATTACTGGACAGAAACACACAGCAGGATTTGCATGTAGAGCTGGAAGAGGAAACCCAGAATATTTCTCTGATTACAGTGAACCAAAGTTCATCTGGTCATCAGGTCAGTTCTGGTTTTCTCCCATCGATGTTCATGTGTTCATCTACTTTATCCATCTATGATTATTACCAATCTTTGAAGTCGGGTCTCAAAGATCAAATTGTCACAATGTCGTCCTAAGAGATATTTCTAATTTGTTAAAAACAACTAAACAACCAAACCAACAATTGTAATCCAGTGGTAAAAATGCAGATAAAATAATGGCTCTATTTAACATAATTGTAGCAAGTCTTTAACGTGTTAGGGTTTAGCCAGAGTTTTATCTGTGTTGATTATTTTCTCCATGTTGTTTTTCAGATCCTCATCCAGCAGCGTCTCTCTCAGTGAGTCCTGACAGAGATCAACATTTCACCTCTGAGTCTGTGACACTGAACTGTGGAGGAAACTCTGCTGAGTGGAGAGTGAAGAAGTTTATAGAAACATTTCAGAGGTTGTTAGATTGCTCCGACTCGTGGAAAATGACTGGATCCTCATGCACCATTAACAGTGACAGGCCCTTTAAATCAGTGTACTGGTGTGAGTCTGTATCAGGAGAGTTCAGCAATGCAGTCAACATCAGCATACATGGTATGTTTTGTTTTGGAGCTACTTAAAATGAAACTAACTGAATTGGTTCAGCTCTTCATTGTGTCTCTTCTTCAAATAAGAATCATCTGTGAATGTTTCTAGCAGAATATTAGACTGTGGTCTGAAAAACTGTAAAAAATATGAAGTTATAATTTCTTGGAAAAATTTTGACATATTCAACATATTTCAGAGTATTTGATTTATTTTAACTGAGTCTCTTCTTCCACCAGATGCACCAGATTCAGTCCTGACTGTGTCTCCATCATGGTTGAATCCTGGAGCCTCAGTAACTCTGAGCTGTGAGGTTAAACCTTCATCTGCAGGATGGAGGTTCTACTGGTACCAAGCTGTTCCTGATTTAGCAAAGAACAACTACAGATATGAGCTGCTAGCTGGTAGCATCAGTGGGACTGTAGAGAACTCCTTCATCATTACTGGACATAAACACACAGCAGGATTTGCATGTAGAGCTGGAAGAGGAAACCCAGAATATTTCACTGATTACAGTGAACCAAAGTTCATCTGGTCATCAGGTCAGTTCTGTTTTGTCCCATAGATGTTCATGTTCATCTACTTTATCCATCTATGATTATTACCAATCTTTGAAGTCGGGTCTCAGAGATCAAATGCTCACAATGCCATCCTAAGAGATATTTCTATTTTGTTATAAACAACCAAAGCAAAAATTGTAATCCAGTGGGAAAAATGCAGACAAAATAATGGCTCTATTTAACATAATTGTAACAAGTCTTTAAAGTGTTAGGGTTTAGCCAGAGTTTTATGTGTTGATTATTTTCTCCATGTTGTTTTTCAGATCCTCATCCAGCAGCGTCTCTCTCAGTGAGTCCTGACAGAGATCAACATTTCACCTCTGAGTCTGTGACACTGAACTGTGAGGAAACTCTGCTGAGTG